CTCGCGTCTCTGTTGCGTGATAGTTAACCTAAATGGCCACGTAGAAAATGTCCATTGAAGAGAGTGGGTAATTGTATCCACTTGATATAAGTGGCTTACTTAACACTCTTATTTCACCAATTTACTTCTCATATTTCCATGCTGAGCAGCACTTACGTTAACCACATTATGTTCATTCGTGTTGTAACAAAATAAAAACATCGCAGAATATAGAATTCAAAATATAAGACAAATAAAAGTGATGGCTTTTCAAAATTATGTTTGGACGTTACGTTAGGTACATACAATTATACAAAATAATGTACAGTAGTTTACAACAATATTAGTTGTTCATAACAGTTTTCACAATAGTTATAGTTTACTATACAGTGGTTTAGAAAAATTTCAATATGAAAAAATTAAAAATCAAAGGGAGAGTCTTTAACTGAGGAAGCAGACGTCTCAGTGTCTATATTCGTACGACTTCCATTTTAGTAGGTAGTGAAGTACAGTTCTAAAGTTTGACATCCTACTTCTGAAATACCCTGTATATAGCGAGAAGGTATATAAACTCTTTACTTTCGCCTTATGCATATCTAATGTCCTCGTTGGCCGGATATTTACAAGTCAAATGCGAGCGATCGATGCGCGTTAGAGCGATCGGGTGAAACCGACGCGACGCTCGGGGCTTGAAAACGGGGGGAAAAAGCTCGCTGCGGGAATCTCGTGGAGGTGCAGGAGAAAATGGAGACGAAAGCCGCGGGGAGGGGCTGGAATGTAACGCGGAAGAAATGGGTAAGAGAACGCGATGCGATGGGAAAAATGGAACGTACAATGAAGTCCCAGGACCGTAGGGGAGAGTTGCCAAAACCGTCCTTAAGATATTTTATCTGAACGTATATTGTAACATACGTGGTTCGAACGAGCAGTTTATTTACTTTAGGAATGTTTCGGTTTTTAAAGGCCCTCTTCGATACAAATAATTAAAAATATAGAAGTGAGAAGGGATGAGATGTATACAGGGTGAGGCACTTAATACCGGCCACCCGAATAATTCGCTTACATTTAGCAATAGAAGAAAAAGTTATTGGCACCACGTTGCGTGCCCCTCGAAATCATACAACTCTTGTTCGACACTTTTTTCTTCTATTGCTAAAAGTAAACAATTTAAGTGGCCTCTTTTAAGTGCCTCACCTTATATGTATGAACGAGGTGTTCCAAAGTAGTTAGGCTTTTTATAGTACCTTATACATTATTTATTTTTCCTGACAGATCAATTCTTTACCTCTCGTCGCTGTGGAAATGTCATGATTCGTTCCATTTATGTACAATGTATAATAGATTGATGTTGTCTAGCCTGGAAATGTTTAATTTTGGACCATTAGGTTTAATGTTTGAATTGTTAATCTTTAAGCCCTTGTTTATTAGGGATAATTTCATATAAACTAAATGGCTTCAACAAACAACTTTTTTTTTTTTTAAAAAAGGGGGTGTTCCAAAAGAGTTTCAGAACTTTATATCTCTCTAATAAAAAAAAATCTCATTATGTCTTGATTTCGCTCAAAGCATCCGCCAGAAGAATCGTTCCTCCAATTTTCCTACCATAGAGCCTATGGACGCGGACCATGGTTTCTCGTTGCGGGCGGAGACTTCAAAAAGTTCCATGATTCGCGGAGAACGCTTGCACGCGGGGAAAAGTTGTTCGCGAGAGAGCGAGCTCCGAGAGGAGGCGAATCTCGATTTCCTGGTGAAATAAATTCCCACGACCCAACCCATTTATTTCTTCTTCGACGACGCTTGCTTTTCTACGGGGACGAAATTAATCGATCCGACGAGGGTGGGGAGAGGGTTCGAAGATACGGTGCGAGCTTTGACTTTTTCAGGCTGACTCACTGTTATTCCTTTAGGGGTGTCCGCGAGCAGTTCCATTTTCCGGCGGATTTTCGCTTTCGTTTTCGGCTGAATTTACTGGCGACGTTTGCTTAAGATATTCGAGGGTTCCATGGCCTGGGTTCTCGCAGTTGATTGGATTTTCGCTATGAGTAAGGTTGCCAGACATGCCCCTTACCAAGGTAGAGTACTCCATTTATTGAATGATGTCTGTAAAGACCGCAATCTTTCATGTGATCCTCCTATAATTATCGTTACTGCATTTATTTGCACGTTTTTTATTGCAAAGGGAATGCGATCGTTGCACGGGAGACAATTGCGCGTCGTCGCGGCTCTGCGCAACGAGATTTGCATTATCTTCGAATCGCGTTGTTTATTGCGTCCGCGTAATCCACGTGGCCGATTGCGAATGAGAAAACTTGTAAAATACACCCTTAATCGACAGCGATTTGTGTTAGTCAATAATCGGTTCGCCAATGAAATTGAAAGTGTCGCGTTATCGAAGAGAGAAGTTACGCTGAGAAGAATCGTTTCGTCTGGTAGGGATCAGTAGAATAAAATAGATTGCTCGCGACGAGGGGGTACATCGACAATAAGCAATATTACCGCGCTTGTCGCGCTTTCCTTCAAATTCAAAAATAAACTACGTAGCGCGACAAATCAACGTATCCTCGTTATAAATATTTGATAACGGTGTAGCAATACTGATTTACACACAGAGTGACGCGCATCGAGTTTGATAAACGCAGTTTATCGATGGTGTACAAGCGTCAACGGTCAAATTTGTGTAACGTGTCGGTTATATTGATCCCACGAGAATTGACATTATTAGAATGTTGAAGGGCCCTCCTGGTGGAATCGATTTACCCGTCTACATCTTTCCTATCTTGCCTGCTCTACCCATTCTTCATATCGTTCACTCTCGATGGAGTCACAACTGGCGCTTCCTCCGCGTTCTCATTCTTCCTCTTGAAGTTTTGGAATAAATTTAAATAGCAAGAAATATTTTCTTTGAGATGTATTCGAATATCAAGACCAGCCACCAGGAGCATTTAGTCAGACGAAAAAAATTGTGGCAATTATTTAATCGGTAGGAAATTTATTTCACCGTCTATGGGCCAACTTTTTTTTCTGCAGACAACTTGCAAGGTATTTACTTTGATATTTAAAATTGATGGTGTTACCAACCGTAATCAATATTGTTAATGGTCATCAGAGATTATATTTCACGATTAAGACATATACGTCATCTTGTGAGAAAACTAAAATTATTTAGTAAAATGTCGATATATTAGCATATAACCTAAAAGTTATGTGGGTCCATAGAGGGTTAAATAGTCAAGTATGTTAAGACAAACGAAATTAGCAATCTTGCAAAGCAAAGTTACAAAGATCCACCATAGTTGATTAAATTCTATAACAGACTCATGGAGTGTCAACACTTGTTTATTAAGTTCCACGTCACTGTTAAAAACACAATGTGCAATTGCTGATCTAATTGTCAACAGAGACACAACCGCTTTTCTTTGGTAACGTTGATTTAACGAGAGTTCGTAAATCTACCCCACCTTGCTACTCGCTTTATACCAAATAAAATTAAGCCAAGCGAAATACAAAACTACCAGCGTCAACAGTGTTATAATATCGTCGAAGGATATTCCCAGAAGAATCGATTTACTCGTCTATCTTCTTCCACATCCAGCATTTTTAAGTCGATATTCGTCACGGCCGGAAGTACGACCCAGCGTTGTCTACCTCTTCGTCCTATCCTTTCCCAGAGAGTTTTGGAATAAATTCAAATAGTAAGAAACGTCGTCGTCGCCGGCGGTGCTCCAACGTTTCCTTGAGCTCATCGTCTTCCGCGTATTCCATCCCAGCGGGAGGGTACGAAATGAATTGTACCAGCCGCCCTCCAGCCAGGCAAGAGTAATTTGATGCACAACCTCGGACTCCGCGAACCCGACGATAATAAAAGGGGTAAAGTGCGCTCACGGCGTCGTGTTGTATTAATTTAACTTGAGCAACGCTACCGTCGACCGACGACCGCCTAGGCAAGTGCAAGTGGGTCGAGAGGATTGGGGTTTGGGACACCGAAACGATATTAAGTTAAATTGCCAACAGTCCCGCGCTTAAGGTGGTCTCCTGCTTCGAGATTAACGAAACAGGCCAAGAAATATAAAGAAAACGGGCTGGGCGGAGCGGACGTAAAAACACGAAAAAGGAGGAAACCGAGAAGAGGTGGATCGCGCGAAACGAAGATGGCGACGGCTTGGAAGTATCGTGGAAGCTCAGACTTGGCCCGATAACGCGGAAAGTTGAGTTTCCTCTTGTTGATCGTATTGCTCGACCTTATCCCAGCGTCCCGGAAGTAGCGGGCTTTGGGCTCGCCTCGCTAGTTAAAAACGTTTTTTAATTAAATCCGCCGATCCGCCGACTGATTACAGGGAGTCTTGTTCGGTAACGAGCCATCACGCAGAAATACTAATGGACGTTAGTTGCATAGCTGTCCGAGAACAGAGAAACCGTGCGTCGAAGTTATGCCTGCTAAACGTAATATAGAGCTTGTACCTTGCGTATGGACACGGGGGTTTGTTATGCGAGTCTATTCTTGTGGGGTTAACGATACGTGTTGTTATTGGTTTCTGGGTTATGCTCCCTTCGCTGACTTCGATTGACGTTGGTTATTACGGATCTGTTGTTTCAGACTACGCGTTATCGTTCGTTGATGATTGTACGTCCCAGCTCATCTGAGACTTTTTCGAAATTTTCTCTTCCTTTAAGGCGCTAAAACGCACCTTGTCTGTATTTATTATATGATCAGGAGCAATTTTGAATTGGAATGTCGAGATTATAATGACTCTGATTCAGATTTAACACACAAACATATATAATTACTACAGAGTTTTGGATTACATGCACATATAGATAAATATATTAGAACAAGAATAAAATTAAAGGTACAATACCAGTTGCCGATCTTATAGCTATCGGCGGAGTCTACTTGGAGATCTGGTTCCGGGCTCAGCTGTGCGAGGATTTCTTTTCAAAGAAACACTAACTAATTTTTCATACCCACAGCCACGATACGTTCCATCATTCTTCTAATCTCTTCCATCATATTCTGTCAACAGAAATCATCGGGATGGAGCTAATAACAGCGAAACTGTTGCTGTACTCGACGCTGGTGGTGGTGGTGTGCTGGAGCCAGGAGGATTGGACGGCCCAGTGCTCGCCGTCGTGCAAGTGCAGATGGGTTTCAGGCAAGAGAAGCGCCGAATGTGTCAACCAGAATCTCACGCAGGTACCGGGCGGACTTTCCTCGCAGATCCAAAACTTAGATTTGAAGGGGAATCGCATCACGCACCTGATGCACAAAGCGTTCGACCGGGTACACCTGGTGAACCTCCATAAACTGGTGCTGCAGAAATGCGAGATCGAGTCGATCCACACGGACGCGTTCCTCGGGCTGAAGCTCATGATCGAGCTCGATCTTTCGGCGAACAACATCAGAACGCTCTATCCGGGCACGTTCGATGATACGACACGATTGAGGGTGCTGTTGCTGAACGAGAACAAGCTGAAGGTGCTAGAGAACGGGCTGTTCCACGATCTCGTCTTCTTGCAGAAGGTGTCGCTGTCCAAGAATGAGCTAGAAAGGATCGAGGAGAAGGCGTTTCGAAATCTGTCAAAGTTACAGCAGGTGACCTTAGACGGGAACAATCTGAGCACGTTGAAGATGCTTACCTTCGACAAGCTGCCAAATCTGGGCAGCCTCGAGCTGCACAATAATCCTTGGAACTGCAACTGCCGTCTCAAGAGATTTCGCGATTGGACCATGACGCGCAAATTGTATACGAAGCCCACCACGTGCCAGCAGCCGATCCACCTCGCTGGCAAGATGTGGGACGAGATCAACAGCGACGAGTTCGCCTGTAGACCCGAGATATTCACGATCGGGCCGTCTGTGAAGATCGAGGTCGGCAGGGGAAATGTCACTCTCTGGTGCAGAGCGTCTGGTATACCGCGGCCGCAGGTAACTATCGCAATGCCACGTTATATTCAAGTGTGGAGTTCCACCAGGTCATGGTTTGTATGTATAGTTTAATTAAATGATTGGCGTAGTCGTACTAATCCATGTACACTTTTTGTAATATTATTTTAACACTTTAACTGCCAGGATACTTCGAAGAAATCGACAGTTCATTTCAATACTCTCATAATTCCAAATTTCAACCCTCCTCTCCTACGGCCGGGTCAAAAGAGACCGACATATTAGTTTCATCATTAGGTTTTTGTAACTGTGAAGACTGAATTCAGTAAGACTGAAATCAGCCAAAGATTATAAATAAAAATTAATTTGGTTTTAAAAGAGAAGTTTTTTTTTAGTGCGTAATACTCCTACTTGTACATGATAAACGCGTTTTTAGGTGACAAGGTCAGATCCGACCCAGCGTAGGAGAGGAGGGTTAACACTAAACCTACCGACGTTCATTTATAACTATTTCTACTGTAATGGGACACACGACTACACGTTTTGAAGACACTTCTTACAATTAACTACAACAATATTTTACGTGGAACTAAATTGGATAATACATGAAACAATTGTGTATAATTCATATGTTTCATATAAAAACTGAATACAAAAGTTTGAAAACGGTCATTTAACCGCTTGCGCTAAGTTTAGAATCAAAAATGAATGTCTCGCCCCGCACTTTCTTAAAGTTCATACACTCGATAATATCTGCGTCTTTGTATTTTCATTTCTGATCAAAAAATCAATATTCCTTTCTTATGACTTTTGAGAGTAAGTTTTCCTGTAAAACAGAGAACTCTGCCGTAAAAGCAGAGCTACCTTCCGCGAATGTAGATCCGCGAGCATGCGAGTTCGGGTACATACAAGGGGGTGAGCGCTGTATAACTTTACGGGAGGGAAGAAGCACGGTTAAAAAGCGAAGGGAAGTAGAGTGGAAAAGGGAGCGCGCGACGGTGAAGTACATATTGTAAAGGGTGGCGTTGTAAAGCTGGGTAACGTTGACTGCGGTAATCCACAGTAACTTGCGAGCAATTTTGTGTACAATCTGGATGAACGTCGGGAGGTCAGGTCCGTTGAAAAGATTGCGTCGGTTAAATCCACGTTGGGGCAACTTAGCTTGAAAACTTCTAAACGTTCTTAGTCGGGGTACGCGTTGTTCTCCAACCGCGGAATGGAACAGATTCTTTAAACTTTGCTGGCTGCGGATCCATTTTTCCCCCTCCTCTTCTCATTGTAACGGTTTCGCAAAACTCTTTGCGGTCGCATTAAGAAATCTCGTTCTCGTTTCTCCGCGTTGCTTAGAGGAAATATTTGACTACGTTTTTACATCTTTAAGGAGAAAACTGTTGAATAGATCCCGTGGTGGGAGGAATTACGAATTGCTTTTCTTCTTTTCAAATGTAGATTTACAGTAAACAGTGAGTCAAAAAAATTAGTTGCGAATGCAGGTAGCTAGTAGAAGCGTTATTAGTTAAAATAATCTTGAAAACAATTAGGAATGATCGCATTTGACAGTTTTCTTCGAAAAAAATTTCTCGCGTGCATTTCAACTCATTCTGTACATCCAATAATGTATGTATCTTTGAAAGCAACGAGTTTCGTTAAAACCGTGGCACGGGATTCCTTTGATTTAATGAAATTCTTTGATTCCACGGATAATAACGGGCACCTGGGTGTACGGGAGCGTGAGACCCGTCTTTTCAAACTCGTCCTACAAAAGGAAGGTGTAGTCGCGTCAGCTTTTACGCGCGATAACGAAGTTCTTTCGGTTTTCTCTCGTCGCGAAGACCGAAAAATCGAAACAGCTGTTAGAATCGGTGTTTCTCGGTTTCAGCTGTTCTGGATCTACCGTTCGAGGGTCCTGGAGAACCAGACACGACGACACAACGGCGAAAAAGGTTACATCCTGAAGTCGAGCCACGACTGGCTGAACCTCACGATCCCGGACGTCGCGCCCTCTGACAAGGGTGATTACGTCTGTCTGGCGAAAAGTCCTGGCGGAAATACCGAGAAAAACGTGAGCCTGGCTATCGCAGGCGACGCAATAGGCGGCAGGGACAATATAATCAGTCTGCCCCTCGCCCTGGGTTTGGGCGTGACTGCACTGGTGTTGCTGATAGTCACTTTGTCCCTATGCGTGTGTTACTGCAAACGTCGACGGGTCAGGCACGACGAGAAGAGCCTGGAGGCGGCGTCGATGGAGCACCACGGGCTGGGGGAGCAGGAGAAGTCTCTGATCACTACCATAAATCCCGTGGTGAAGCCCCCTAGACGCTACGAGGCGCCGTCCGTGACGTCGCACGGCACCGAGATGACGGAGCTGAATCGTACGTTGCTCGACAACGACTCGGTCTTTGGTCAGTACACAGCCTACATTACTAAACAGTGCGTGGCCAGGTGCTAGCTACTAACTATTTGTTACTTCCGCCGCGCGATTACTGCGAAACGTGGAACGCTAGCGGGACAATCGCCTCTGATAGGGCTTCGATGGTGTGACGTGTGAGATACGCGCGCAAACGTTTCGTGGAAACAAGTATCGTCGATCGGTGTTATCCAGGGTTATCTTTTCGTGGGAGCAATCGAGGCTCGATATGATTTCATATTGACGTTACTTCTGATCACTGTGTGATTGAAAATGACGCTTTAACCTTTAACTGGTGGAACGGGGTTGTTGGCGCGTAGGTAGTCGATCGGGCGACGGTCTACAGATGTCGATCGATGGCATGGATAGACGATATTCTTTATTTGAGCCGTTCACTGCACAAATCGATTAACTCCACTTTTTGAAGAATCTGAAATTTAAGTGTCAAAGCAATTGATATAGTCATAACTTGTTACATTTATGATAACTTTCTTGAATAATAAATAATTTATTTCAGAGGCCATTTTAATCGCATTTCTCAACTTTTTGTTTTATGGAGTAAATCGATTTGTGCAATGAACGGCTCATTTAACCCTTCGATGTAAGATTCATTTATTTATTAATTCTAGTTTTTATTTTATGTCTTAGTTGCGGGAAATGATAATAATACAGGGCAGGTAAAGAACATGAAACAGGAAAAGTGTATCTGAGCTCAGTTGATAATCTCTTAAGAAGATCTATCAATTTACATCATTTTTTAAAAATCAAGCAAACAATTGCGTTCAAAAGAACACCGTTTCAGTAACAGTCTCTTGAAACCTGCAATTGAACGTATAATCACACCGATCACCTATCTATGGCTATCGTTTCGATCACGTTCTACCAGTTGAATGTTGAATCGCAATATACCTCCGAACAAAGCTAGACTTTTACGGCTGTAGGATTAACAATAAGAACATATTCGTGTTAGAAATAAAGGACCTCTCATAACGCTACACTAACGGGTTGCATAATACAAACTTGAAGACTACACTAAGCACGGTGTACATGTACATTTCGCGCGACAAAGTTGTCGGCCTGATACGCAGAGATCAATCAATGGAACGCTAAAAAAAGATCGTTCTCGCTAGACGCGACTCCTTAAACGAGATCCGCTTTGGATACTGTTCTTGCCACGGCCATCAATCTTCCGATCTCTTACGAGAAACGACTCATCGCGACGATCGTTGGATCGGTATCGTCGTCGTCTAACGGATAGAATAGATTAATTGAATTGTAAACGGCAAATGTATTTAAGTTTAAGACAGTCGTATTATCGCGAGCGCGGCTCGGTAATCCCGCAGGCAGACAAACGAGGCGCCATCGATCCTGGGGTTAACAAATATCGACCAAGACTGTTGCAAGATTAACGAGAGCGTGCAACGCGTAATGATATAGAGAGGAGAAAGGCATTTGTCGTCTGTGTCTAGTTGACAGCGAACAGCGTTTTTTCTCTTTCGGGCAATCTCGTTTTCTGTAATGAGAAACGTTGGCCATCGGCTAATTAAAAGATATATACATATATAATAAAGAGAGGCACAAAAGTAGAACTCATCTATTAATTGATTTCTTGTATTGTATCAATACAAATAACATTGATAGTTACAAGTAAGTCTATAGTTAGAGTTTGAAGTATCCGTGTTTCTATTCATGATTTTCTCAAAAATGGAGCAAAAACGAGCAAATCTCTAAAGGACTTTTTTTCTTAGTTTATCAGTGCCCTACATGCTCCCAAAGTGTTAACACTTAAATAAAAATATTTCACAACGCACAAATAGAAACGTAATCGTACATTGGTTTTATACATTATTTAAATAAAATGTTGGCTATCTCTATTCGATTGTCTCGCTCCACATCGCTTCAGTAAAAGATCGTTTTGTTAGATACGTAAATACAAGTGGGGAACATACACAAATCCAAAAAATCAAAACTTTTATAGCTCTGTGCAAGCAGAGTTTATTCTCGATACGAAACCATTTCCCATTTCCGCTATTTTGCAATTTGAGGAGATGAAATCAACCCTTGAAAACAAATGCAGATTTACAGATCGAAAAGCATGCATTTTGTACACACAAAAAGCAGCCGAAACTCTTGTTTAAACTTTGTTCCCGAGGCCTCCCTCCGTTCGGGAGGTATTCCACGAGAAAAGTTCGTGCTATTTCCAGGGGGTTATTTAGCCCCCCTCGAACCTTATAATGGCATCAACGAGAAACGGTTTCGCATTACGAATGATCCACTCTGCGTTGCACGCAACGTTTCAAAAACTTTGCGGAATTTTTTGAGTGCGTGCAATGTTCTTCGCCAGCCTGGTAAGGTATCAAACGATTTCGGAGTGGCGATCGACTCCAAAGCGAGTTAGTGTGTTAATTGGGACGTTAGCTGCTTTCGAGTGTAAATAACGAAAATGAATTAAAGAAAAACAGCTCGAATTACTTGTAGATTGTACGCATAAAATAGCGATTAAAGCGATAAGCCAAAGGAGGGAGGAAGAAGCGCGCGTTACGCGACGTTCGAGTCCGAGTCACTAACAAAGGGGGTAAGAGTAATAATCATTATCGTGCTCCCCTCAGAATTAGCAAGTTGGAGTTTTATCGAGCACGGACAATTCTTTCGTGCGTCTTCCGTGTACACGTGCACACGCAAACTTCCTCCAGCGAGTCTTCGTCTGTGCACTTTCCGAAGATGATAATTGAAATTGTCGAGGATCTCGCATCTGAACAGCTACCTTCCGCGTCTCGACTACCTCTGTGCGCTATGGTACCCCTTTGTGTCTGTCGCGGAAGGCTGGACTCGTGCAACCTTTTCCCCATTGTCCTACTTTCTCTTTTGACTGCTGGTTGAACAGGAGTCGAATACTGGAAAAAAAGAACGTGTGCCACGATAAAAGTTCCACGATTATCGAGCTCTCGTACCGTCTGCCACCGGCGCTCCTAAAGATTTTTTGCACATAGTAGACGGAAGCGCGGACGATAGAGAAAAATAAAAAGGTAAAGGACCTGAGAACTGGTAGAAAGCGAACCTGGAATCAGCACTCCGTCAAAATTGGTTTTTATTTTATTGCTACTCTGCAGCAACGTTCACTCTGGATGCCAGATGCAAAAAATAATGTCGTTGTTTTCGTCGTGAGAGGCTTTTGTATTTTCCACTCGCCTTCCAGTTCGTGTCTTTTCATTTCTATGTTATTAACATCCACTTAGTACTTTCTTCGACGTTAACGTAGTCGATGGTTGCTACGTCGTCTGATGTTAATCATCATATGTAGAATAATCACCTAAAAAGATGGCGCGAGGAGCAAATCGACCAAAGAACTCGCGTATGTTCCAGACCTCTTTTCATCGACGTACAGTACATAGAAACAATTTTGTTCGATTGCCTCGCATAGCTAGAAAGATGTCGTACTAGACAAAGTAGCTCATCGCGCTCTTGAACTTGAACTCGCACTTTAAGTTTGTCTTACTTTCCTATCACACGTCATTCATTTTTCTGTTTTAACGTTCGTCCTTTTTTTTTCGTTTATCTTCTGATAACATCATCCTCCAAGTGGTAGGTCGTATTCGCGAAGGATTCGCAGCATGGAATTCATAGACTTGGCGACCGAGATACGATAAAAACGAGCAAGGGTATCGACGTTCGGCCTGTATTTCCTTTCCTTGACAGATTCGTTACGATGACTCCACGCCAACGTCGTTTAAATTATAAACTCGAGCGTGCATCTCGCAAAACTACGTAAAAGTCGACCTACTTTTCATCCAATGAGACTTTATCTCGACAGACACAATCGATTTACGTGTCTTCGCGATATAAACCCCCTCGACGGGTGTTGTACATTATGTAACGTTTTCTGATACCACTGCGTGATATCTAACGTGGAATCATGCTTGGTATGTCACTTAACAGTAAGAAAGAATTTCGAGATGTAGGACATTGTCATCTTCGAACGTCAGGCTTAGGAAGAAGGAATTCGATACTGATTCAGTTCGGTTCGATTGTTCAAAGTATTTATAGTATTGGCAGACCCAGCGATACAGCTTGAGGTTCCAGAATTACACAATGCTCTTCTAGAGCAGTGCTTAGAGTTTATCGCAACGTAATATAAAGCTCGAAGCTCGCGAGAACAAAATCGAAGGACATTATTATTTTAATAGGGTATTTTCAAAATTTGTGAAACACTAGCAAAAGTCTAATCCTTTTGTGATAATTCCTGCGACCTCAAAACTATATTCATGTCACAAATGCTTGTCCAAGGACCACAGAATATTAATTGACCGGTTAGTCGAATAAGGTGGAGTGTGTTTCGAATGGCGTTCAATCGGTAACCAGAACCTCGTGTACGATCTTATTAAAGTGCTTCAGTCCATCCTCGCACTTCTTAGGAAAGTATCCCTTTGTCCTGGCTATCGCTTTGGCTTTATCGAGTAATATCCTATGTTCCGTAGCCTTTTGGTGGAAACATAGAGCCCGAGTCCCAAAGGACACCTCGAAGCCTCTGTAGCGATCTTCAAGTGTCTGAAATTAATATTGGAGTGCACGAAAGGAACAGAAAGGGAACTTGCGTTTCATACTCTTGCAGAAACAGTTGAGCTCATTACTAAAGCTTCCTAAGTAGATCCAGAGATACAGAGTGTAATTTATTACGTGGGAAACACTTGAAAATTGGATTCAGTTCTGCAAAACAAGAAAATAAGTTGATGTACTCTTTATCATGGCCAAGGCAGGTTAAACAACAGTAGATACGGGATAAACGATAACAATATAAGTCTTTATACAAAAAGATAACTTACTACTGTTATTATTACATAAATAGATAGTCAGCCGTAATCCATCGTAGCCCTCTGCTAACGGAGTTACATCCTAGAAGATGGCGCGAGGAGCAAATCGACCAAAGAACTCGCGTATGTTCCAGGTCTCTTCTCATCGACGCACAGTACATAGAAACAATTTTTTTCGATCGCCTCGCTTAGCTAGGAAAATGTCATACCAGACAGAGTAGCTCACCGCGCTCTTGAACTCGCGCTTTAAGTTTTTCTTTCTTTTCTATCACGCGTCATTCATTTTTCTGTTTTAACGTTCGTCCTTTTTTTTTTGTTTATGTTCTGACAGCTGACGGTATCGGTGGCGGTGTTGGCGGCGGAGTGATCGGCGGCGTCGGCGACGACGAGAGGGAGGAACGAGCTACCCCAGAACTCGAGAGCGGTACCGGCACCTTGTGCCGCGGAGGAGGCGGCAGCTACCGTCAGTATCCTCCTGATCTACTGGCCTTCTCCGGCGGTCGTGGTGCATCGCCGACTAGTCAGGCGTCCACAGCACCGGACAACACGCGTCTTCCGAGTCAGCACGCAACGCCAACCACGGCAGCGTACGGCTCACCCTCTAACCAATTTCCAGCCGCATTCAAGACCCTGCCCCACAACCGTAGCATCACGCCGTACAGTGTCTCGAGCTCCACGATCGCGCCAGTGATGCCTCGTCATGGATACGTCACGATACCACGAAGACCAAGAGCACCCAGCTGGAGCAGCGGACCGCCCACCTCGCCTACGGACGGATTGGAGCCAGTCTACGACAATCTGGGTCTGCGTACCACCGCGGATGGCAGTTCGGTCCTTTCGCTGAACAAGAGTCCCGAACCGTTGTCCTCCATCAGGAGTCGACCCCTGCCGGGAACGCCTAGTTCTCACTACGGCACGATACAACGAAGTACCCCCAACATTTTGACCAGCAGCCCTTTGGATAGAGCTGCACCCGAGGGCGCCGCCGAGTGGCCCACCAAGCTCGCCGACGAGTCCACGGACAGCAATCACGTCCTCGGCCAGCAGCAGCAATCGGGCAGCAACACTCTCGGCAGAAAAGTGCCGCCCAGGCCGCCCCCCAAGCCCAAGAAGAAGTCCACGAACGGGCCATTGTACGAGGACGAGGGCGAGGACGGCACGGAGGTATGATCAGCGCGCGTCGCTCGACGCACTTGAGGCCGCCAGATCGTAGCTGTGTCGAAGAGAAGAGACGCATGACCGCAGTCACAATAAACCGGTAGTGCCTTTCAAGAAGAGACAACCCAACCGCGGGTCGATGTATGATTCGAGCGCGTTTGTTCGCCCTGTCGAAAGTGCTGACGAACGAGGGGTGAGAAGAAGCTTCCACAATGCGGACACGGAGTCCGCATCCGGCGGTGCAAGTTGGCTCGAACCCGCTGACTCGCCGGGAGGAAAACTTTTCGGACGCCTTCGCCGGTCGTTCGTTCCTTTCGTTCCCGTTTCTTCTCCCTCTTTTCGTTCTTTCCCCCATTTTTTTATAATTTATTTCTTTGCGCGCTGTGCCGTGACTTGCTCGCGACATCAAACTATTCGAGTGACTTCTCCATGCGCGAAGGTATCGAACTCGAGGGGATCTTCCGCGAGAAACTCGACGACCAGGTGAAACGTTGCGAGTATACTTGTGCTGTTGTTGTTGTTTTTTTTTTTATAGTTGATAACTTGAAATTTGACAACGGATGTAGAGATCGCACGAAGTACGCGAACTAGTATTAAGGATAGCGTCCCGACAAGGACGTCTTATTTATTGACGTGCTTGCGCATGCCTAACGAAGATCACGTCGAAGCCAACTGGACACTGTGGAAAGAAGCGATGGCGTGATCGGGTACCTCCTAAGCTTATTTCCTACTTTTAGTTTTTATTTGAACTTTTACACTCGACCCGCGCGTACAGCGGAACCTCGATTATTGCGCGGAAGCTCCGTTCGTTGCAATGCTTTGGGGAATGAAAATTTGAGAGAGGTCAGAGGAAAATTGGTAACAACCGTGATCACCATAAGTGGAGTCATCGTCCTCTGAGATGAGTGTCTTCTGTATTATCACAGTTCATCTGTGCAGGCTGTTTAGAAGCATCCTTCTCAGAGGTCAACGACAGCGGAAACATACCTTGACTCTGATTATTGGTTGAATCTAGATCATTGCAAGGATTCTGAGTCCCATTTTTCCGCAACAATTTAGGTTCTACTTTATCAAATGGGAATAATTTTTATCGCGACGCTTGAAGTTTATCGGTCTTTTATCCTCGCGTCCTTCTGAACAACGACGTTTTATTTTCCTTTTTTACCGATAGTTTTACCGTTAGGTCGTCTTTTTTGTTTAACGTAATCGCGTATCGCGCTGGTACATCGCCGCGTCGAACAAGTTGTAACAATCGTTGTAACGACATTGTAATTTGAAAATAATCGATGAACCGTGGAAAATGCATGGTTTGTCGCGGTGAAAGCGAATTGAACGGTGATTACAAACTATTGCTAGCGAATGTACAATGGCGAAAGAGGGTTAAGGGTCATAGAAATATCAATTAGCTGAGGAACAGAGGCACGTAGTGAGCAAGCTGAATGAATCGAAAGATTGGCCTACATTCGCTAGTGAATCGAGTTTGATATAATGCGAATGTAAACATTCACTAGGTCTAGTTTACATTCACTGGCCATCCGCTTTCACCGTGATGGAGACGTTAGTGTAATTATTTCTAGTAAGTTTAAAGAGTACGCATGTAAAGGATATCTCCCGATTGTATTCGTTCTTAATGGTAACGAGTTTTGTGAGAAAGCTCATGGAATTCCGAGGCTTTCGATGATCGCGATGGCGTTTCATTTTGTCGCGCCTAGCACACAATTAACGTTACACTCCGCATTCAAATGTATTTTACCGAATAATATCTCGTCCCTTGGAACACAAGGGCAACGTATTCGTTTCGACGAAAAGGGATCTCAACGTTTGTGCGAATTGCCGAGTTTATTGTAAAAAGAAACCTACGTCGTGCAGCTTGTACATACTGTGTATTATATCTAAGGTATAGTTCGACTTCTGATAACTCGATCGGAGTGGTCTTTCGCGTAACCACACGTCAGTGGTTTTATATTGAGAAAGATACACGAAAGCATGGCAACGAAGCAAGGCTAGAGACGATTGTAGCTAACGATGCGAACCAACAGCTGGCTGGTTCATAGCATCGAGGACGGCCATTGTATACGTAACATATAGGTACAATTTCATCGCGATTTTAACGGGTAATGCGATCCATGTGTAATTGACGAATCGAGTTCGAGCGGACTCGTACCATCGACGGATCAACGCCGCGCGTTCCAAGAGGCGTCACTGGTTAAAGCGATTAATTTTAAATCGAATCATTTTTTTTTTTTTTTATTTTAGTTTAAACTTCGATCGACAGGTGGCATAGTACCCCCAAACGAATTTCTGAAGTTTCGATTATATATTCTTTGCGCGGTTATTGGTTTTTCAGGCAGGGATTTTTGTAACGTCGTTCGGTGATCGATCTCGCTGAAATTTTTCGATCGGAAAGCAAACATGTTCGAGCGACGCAATTTCACCGAGTAGATAGCAACGACGGAAGGATCATTCTTCACCCGCGGAATTTATCGTCCGTAAGCCACGAACTTGTTATACTTTCGTTGCGTTTTATCCCGAGCTTAACGTTGCATTCCCGCCTTTAGCTGGGATTTTGAGATCGATCGTCTACAACTTGTTGCGAGCGGGACCCTCGTACCGTAACACGATATCAGACCAGTCGTATATTACAAATACACATCTGTCTTTCGTTTTATTTTGAGCAAAATTATTGGAGGATTGCGCGTATCAACAATTTTATTCCAATTGTACTGTCTAATGAATACTGTCATTTTAAGATTTAGGTAAGGCAGGCGTTATTAAATTACATGTACATCCTTCATTGGTTAAAATTCAATCGATGCACTGAGTTTGGTCTTCTGCGCTTTCTTTTTCGTTGATGAAAATCTGACGTGTCGAGATTTATCTTACTTTTTTTTCTTAGTGCAACGACACTTTCTCCTGCAACTGACTAAACAGGAGACACAAATCCTTCCACTATGTTGCTCACTCTGAATAGAGAAACAGTTCGAGAGAAAACATACCATTTTTCCAAACAACTCGCGAGCAACGGCGATACCAATCGGTAGCAGCAACAGTTCATCGAAACAGGTCGATTCGTTAACGACGAGTTGTCTTCCCCGACCATCGTAACACACCTAACAGTATTACGCATGAAACTCGAGGACGATGATGCGGTGCTGGTGAGGGGATGCGGAGAAATCGCGACGCAGTCGTGCAACTTCGTTTCCCAGCTTGCACTCGATTATCTAGTGTTAATCATAAAAAGAGTGAAAAAGGAGACGTACAACAAACAGTTTGTGGAGGACGGTTGAGTCTACGAAAAACAGGTGCCAATGGGTAGCCTTCTTCTTCTTCCACTCGTTCCTGAAATGGACAGAGGACTCCTAGGGAGGAAGAACGCTGCTCCTATCGAAAAGAGTTTGGAATCGAGGCTGCACGACTGATTGTCGTCGTGACTTATTTTAAGCGGCCTAGTAGAGTCGCGGCTCGTCCGATCTAATCGTTGTGCCGCGCCCTGTAAATACACGGACCTAATTGCACGCTGATTCACGACGTTGTTTATATGTAAATTGCGGCCACGTTTAAAGAGCAGCGCGGCACGACCGATTGGTACGGCGCCACGAGTATATTTTTGTAATTTTGTATTTTGACGGGTTCTCCGGCAACTTCCAGCCCCACTAGCCGCGAGGGGAAGATGACTCGTCCTCGTACCACTCAAAGATGGGCAAGATTATTATCTACGTTACAATTTCAAATTACAAACGAAATTATAGACCAACAGCTGCGCATCCGTTACTGTTTGTTGAAAAGTAAAATTTGACTTACGCAATGACATATTTCAACAGCAAAGAAATCAGTCTTGTACCAAACTTGTTGTTGTATACTGTAGACGTTAACCCTTTGCAGTTCAGTTTCCTGATTTCGGTCCATTTTTACAGGACCGCAAGGGGTTCAAACCGTTTTTGCTTGACGCGTTATTCGAATAAAATTTTGCCCCATCTCTGGTACCACGGTATCAACGACACCGACCCCATCGGAGGGGAATTAACTAAATCCACACGGTTTCCGCGCGATACGAGCAGTAAACATAATTGAACGGTCGTTAAGACTACGCGACGCGTCGTTGTTGCGATCACCCCATAACTGGATGCCTCGTCGAGCTACGTCCTCGACGATGATTCCCCGATTCTCATTACAACTCGTGGATGTACGCTTCGTGGAATTATGGTGCGCTCAAAATTGAGGGAAATTATGGATGATGTACGTTGCTTCTCTGGAAGTTAAGGTGCAGACTATGATGAGAGGGACCTTACTAAATTTTGCTGTCGTGGAGGAAAATTGAGACACGGGTAGCACGGGATTCGTCGCAGTTTATTGGTTTCATTACTGTTCTTTGCTCTGGATTACCACGATTTGTAGAAAGGCACCCTTGTGCTCGTGTGACTTTATGGTTGTAATACAAGTGCTTGCAGAAGGCTTTGGGGCGGTGGCTTTCTGACCTTGTTTTGAGGAAGATGAATTTTAAAATAAATGTGGATGTTGGACGTTTCTCCTCTTAAAGTTTTAGTACAGGCTATGATGGGCAAGAGTTCGTAAATTTTGCTGTCGTGAAGGAATACTGAAACACAGATAGCATGGAATTCATTACAGTACAAGTGCAATTCTATTTAGATTAGCGTTATTTGAGCCGTTCACTGCACAAATCGATTAACTCCACCAGTTACATAAAAATTGTAACATTACTGAGGATTATTTTTTGGCTATTCATTCTTATTAATTTTATATACCGTTAGAAAGCTACATGTGTATTTATGCATTCTACAATATTTATTTGAATTTATATTATAAAAAAAATTTTAAAAAAACAATATACATTATTTCATCGCATTTCTCAACTTTTTGTTATGGCGTTAATCGAATTGTGCAATGAATGGCAGATTTCTAGAATGATATCCTTATGTTCGTGTGAAATTATGGTTGCACAATACAAGTATGTGTAAAAGATTTTAAAGCACCTTTTAGTTACCATTCAGACCTTGCCTAAAATGAAAGATGAAGTTTGAAAAGAAAGAGGGATGATGAAAGTTGTTTCCCTTGAAGTTTAGGTGCACGCGATTATGTGAAAGATGAACATAAATTTCGCCATCGTATAGAAAAATTGAGACAGATAGCACATGGTTGAGATAGAACAAAATTCATCGCGATACGTGAGCCTCGAACAAGCCAACTGATCAACCTCAGAAATAAAAAGTAGAGAAAATCGATGCCATAAACATTGTTTAAATAGACGAATATACATCAGCAATTATTACTGGATGGAGGACTAGTTGCGTGTACTATTAGGCGAACGGTATTTATCAAGGTATGCGCACGACGTGCCACCAGTCAGCGTGCAATTATTATCGCGAGATACTTTATGTGCGCACGAATATGCTGTTCGTCGTTTTAATGAGACTCTCCCTTTGACATCCCCGAACGCCAGCAATAACATAGTTTACGCTCATCCACGCTCAGAAGACGCGTCTGCGACATCAGACGATGGTTCGTAATCGATACACGCAGCCTACGATGCGCTTAGGTTCTCCGTTTAGGCTAGGCTTAGGCAAGCTGACGAGATACAGCATCGTATTTTGCAAATGACTGCATTTACGCCCGAAATTATAACATGGATATACACTGGGCGACGCTAATCCATGTCTCGCAAGAGAAGGTCGTCAACTAGTGGCGTAATCGAGACACCTGCTCGAGGGAGATGGATCTTGGTTGACGACTTGGTCGAGGACTTTTTCTAAAGGGCAGGAGTTAGTGTACCACAGTGTCCATTGTTTTTGTGACTAAGAAAAAAAAATAATATTTCGTCACTCTGCCACAACCTGGGTTCAATAAACATCAAGCCATCTCTTCTTTAACGACTCTGCGTATCTACCTGTCGGGCGTACATCCGCTTGAAGTCGTTACGACGGAAGTCAAACGGGGATCACAGTCTGTTGGAAGGGACACTTGGGGTTGGGGACGGGCAAAGCTTGTGTAATTGCAAGTGTCGGTGCGTCCACATTGGACACGTCTCGCTTAGTATTTTTAATGAGGCACACGTGACCTCCTGTGTCGAGATTTCTCGCTCGAACGCAACGGTAGATCGAATGGAAAAAGGTTGCGATTCGTGGTGGAAGGACCACGGGCGTCGACGAGGACGTTAACAACTGACATTGTTGACAGGATGGTGTTGTTGTGACAGAACTTGTTAACGATTGAAGTGTGGAATTATTAGGTATCGATGAAACGGAACGGAATACTCGTGTCGCACTGTTAGCGGCAATTACGGCAGTCTTAAGGTACTATCACACTCTTTCAGAGATTGAGTAAGGACCAAGCTAGTAGTCTGTTAAAGGGTTGCACACCCTTTTAGAAACCTTCGGTACAGTTTTGAAAGAAACTTTTTTATGAGTAACAAGTGATGGTTTTGGTACAAAGACCAGTATTACATTTCTGTTCTGTATCTGAACACGTTAGTATGGCTTACCTGGAAGGTCCGCAATCAACGAGGTTATTTAATTGAAAAATAAATTGATCGTGGTACAGATATTGGAAATTCGAGCAATTGTCTTCGGTAGAAGCGCTGACGCAATAACTGCGAATACTGATAGGAGCAGAATTGGTAAAGCAGTTTTCCGTGCACGGAAAACGCGCGCGCATATTTTTTTAATAAAATGGCAAATTCGTACGTGATTTCTCTACGGGCACAATTGTAAAATCGTCGATCACGCGAAACACGTCGATAGATATGCAAAGTGGGCCACGTAACTGGAGGCGCTTCGATAACTCCGTAAATATTGATTTTAACAAAAATTGATTTCGACGAATATTGTACGGCTCGTAGGAAGTATTACGTATTCATGTAACGAACTCAAGGTTCCCCTTGTGTTATTAAACAGGAAACCATTTTTATCTGTAACAGAAGTCATAAATTGACATTCGATCGATCTGTATTTCATTTATTCTGTATCGAATTCACGTAACAATCGTTTTTACAATTTTATTTATTTCTTGCTTAACTTGTATTCTACTCTGTTGCACTCGGATGAAGATAATTATTGATAACTACAAAGTGTATAATAGGGGCAGTTTACAATGCATTAATTCGTACAAGACTCCGATTGAAAAACTATTAATTATGGCACGTTTATACAGTCGATATACTGTATAAACCGTTTGAATATTCATCACCTACATTTACATAGACATTGGCAATTCGTTGACGCATGATTGCAAAATATATAGGTCGCCTTATATAAATGTATGTTCTATATGGTGACTCGAATTTCAAACAGCTACTGGCTAACCTTACCTTATCGCTGTGACATAACCAACGTGTTACATATTTTATCCATTTTTTTACGTTCCCCAGTGCAATAAAAGCGTTGAGTAAATATTAATAAAATCCAAATATTTATGGATGTATCCAAAGCACTCCAGTAACCACCACGTAGATTCAAACTAGAAAATTGGACCAGAAGATGACCAACAACTCCGTTGCCAGATGAAATTCATTGCCAATGGTCAACTAACGATGTGCTTAAAAGCGTAAAAGCTGAATTATCCTTTCGTCCATTCCAATTTCAGAACACCATAGTAACACGATGATTACTGTTCTCGTCGAGCTTTCAACCTCGAGCTACGTTTACGAGCGACATGACAGTCGTAGATAACATTCCTTACTCTGACACCGAGATATTGGCGTAAAGTTCTCGACTGCATCTGCCAGCGTGCAGATGAAAGTACCGTCCAACACACCGATCCGGCCACAACCATCTGGACGTTACGCATGCATAATTAATCGAATTTAACGAAGAACCGGAACACGACGTGTTCCCTGAGGATTCCAATCATCTACACGATCTCTCAACGGTGCATTTATACGCTAGGGATCGCGCATCGTAGCGCATGAATTCCGCGATAATCAACGGTACGACAATTAAGGAGTCATTTCCTCCGTCTTGGACACTATGCACTTTGTCCATCGAAACTATCTCGAAGTGAAGAGACGAGCAAAAAATAAACACGTATCGCGTCGATCGCATTCCACTAAAGACGATGGCAATCTTCGCGTTGTTTCCGTTGCAAGCGCATTTGCGTAATCATATTCTCACCGGTTCTTTCATATGTCGTACATCCTAATAACAGGAATCCATAATTAACCGATTAATCCTCGGAAATGAGAAGCAAGGAGACGAAATTCGCAACGCGGCGAGCGGAAAGTCGATTTATATTTAACGTCTCTAATAATTGAGCTTCGCGATCCGAGGCCATGAATATTTAAGAATCTGATTTCCGAACATTAAACCTGTGCTACTAACGACCTTATTATTTACATAGAATTAAGCGTAACGCGTGTATCGGTTTGAACGTTGTTCCTTTGCGTACCACGCGAAACTTTAATGTACAATCTCGACGGTTGTTTAACCCTTTGAAGCATCTGATTACTAAATTCGTGCAGATATACGTCAAATCAAAATATTGTACCAACATTGACTTTTCCTCTTGAATTTGATAAGAATTGTTTATTTATAGAAGTATAATAATTTATGTTACAATTGACGTCTCCTCTTTTGGGTTTTGAGACCAATAGAAAGAGTAAATCATTGCGAATGAACCACGCAATTGTTCATAATACTGACATTCAACAGTGGGTGAACAAACTATTGTCTAGTTTAAGTAATGGTAAGATTTACTTTAAATGTATATTTTTATATTTCGTTGTCTTTCTTCTCCAAGATTAATTTTAGTAATATTTTTAATATACCGTTTAGTATTTACAAGTGCGTTTGTAATGACTTATTCGACCAATAGATGAACGCTAATTCTATTAATTAATATCCGACATGGCTCGTCGAATTGTTCATGCGTCAAGGGGTTAATAGCGCCGAACCGTAGCCGCTTCTTCGAAGACTGACATTTTTTCGAGACCGAGACGACGTAATTTTCGGTTGAGGAGTTATTGATTCAAAGGAATTGCGTTGGTAATAAAACAATGACGAATTAAGCGAGTAACCTTCGAGAGACCACGCCCGATGCTAGTGCGAGAGAAGAATTTCCTAATTGATCTCTGCGAATTGCGATTGAGCGTCAAGTGACAAAGACGAGCGATCATTTCGCATATAACCGTGCCCCATACATGATTCTGACGACTGCGTTAACCTTTTACGGTCCATCTCTGGCCTCGTGGCTGCTCGAACTGAGAAAGTGCTCGTCGCGAAATCTATTGGCCAGTGAAGGTAATCGAGGAGTTATCCTCACCTTGCCATCCTACTGTTATTTATGAATATCTGTACCACACGTTCTTTGTCTCTCAGATACTCTCTATTTGCCTCTTGCAACAAAAAAATGATGTAGAAGTGGAGTAGAACTGTATAGAATACTTCGGATAAGGCTGAATTTCTTTTCTAATGTTTCAGAGTATGTTTAAATGACAAAACAGTGTTTCAGTAAATTTTATAAAATGACCATTTCTTTTAAAAGAAAGAACGTCAGCCTAATATAACTAACGTATGTTTGAAATTTAAAAACTAACGACATACGAAAATTTTTAATCGTTGACACCCTCTGAGCGCCATATTCTTTGTTATCACCTGTCACGCGATACGCAGAGTGGGAGAAGCTCTGCATAAGCTGTGGAGCTTACGTACGTTGGATGACACTGGTTTAGGAACACCTTGGACACACGTATAGGAGCGTATGGTCTAAAGCAATCTTCCATTTCCAGAGCTGTATCGCTTCCAACTGCGACATGCGACCGCAAAGGGTTAATGCGTACGTATCTCAGCGACGGGAAATTTGTCGCGAAGCGTTTGTCGGTGATACGATAGTTGATTTGATGTAAAACGGTAGCTCGGATAGATCTGTAAAAATGTGCTTTCTTGAACGACGGCTCGAATCGTGTCCTAATCGTCGTTGAAACTGCCTAATTCATTCCATTTGTAAAAAAAAAAATTAAAAAAAAAGAAAAGAAAAACTTTCTCACCATTTTCCGCGTGTGTACTAACCGCATATAATATAATAGTACCGTGCAGAAACGCGAATCGTGTTCCTGACGACGTGTTGTGTTAGGCGAACGGTGTAGGACGTGTGTTTCTGTGGATCAGGCCGCGTCCAAGTTTCTCGTACTTGATGAATGTGTGTGTAGACGTTATGGGGCCGAGTCATGAATAAACGACGTTTCATTAACATATTTTCGTATCTCGTACAGCGTTCCGTTGTACAGGATAAGAACGCTTCGAAGTGTTTTTATCGTAATAGGGATTATTATAAATGTAAAGGAACTATGTTTGCGTGTCACGATCTAGCCGTAAGGAACCTCCTTAGGGAACGTAGCGTTCAGATTTTTTTCTTTCATAGACTCTAGATGATATAGGAACGTTAAGGATGGATAATCGACGTAAAACTTTGCGATCGTTGATCATGTCTTTTTATTTGTATTTCTTCTATTCTATATCTTATTATTCGTGTTATCATACTATTATCATCATTATTATCATTACTATTATTATTATGGCTATTTATATTTAATATTCCTATCGATTATTGGAATTATACCGTTGCGTTGTGCTGTTATTATCATTGCGATCGTTGTAATCACGATTATTTTTGTACGAAAGTTTTACCATGAAATATTGCAACTTGCCTTGTAACAGAATTCAGTTCCGTTCGGCGTGACGTTTCGGCCGACTATAATTTATACATGCCATGTCAATGTACTATCACTGTAAATATTATACATATTTTATAAATGAAATATTTAGCGTGACTGTAACATTACGAGAATGTACTGAAAGCACCACTCTGTACACTCCACTACGATGGTTAAATTTTAATAAATATTTCCCAACCCCATCGCTGTACCTTGATACACCCACATGTGATACTGTTAAGGTGAGGCCCAACTGTTGTAACGCATTCGTTCGCTCGTAAATTGTGCGTCTTCGGGCGGATTCTATAAAAAAAAAACCGTTTCCCTAGCGTCGCTGCTGCGAAAATGAACGTTTCCATGAATTTTCAGAGAGCATTTTTATTGAGAAAATAATCATAACATCAGCGTCTTTACAGTCTCTTAAAATATCATAAATATAGTCCGTGTATATAGTATTATTTGGTTCCGACAAGTTTTAGTATCTTTTCTTCTTTGGTTACTTTCTTCAACTTTGACAGGGCACTCTCGCCATACTTTGTCACCAGTTCTTCGACGAAGTCGTCCTTCAACTTTTTCAGACATCTGAAAAGCAAATTAGTTTAATTGCATCGTTCGTTTCATTTATTCAATACGCCATTGAAAGCCATTAGAGTATCAAATACAGAAATTGCTGTTTCACTCGGAACGGTATTCAATACTTCGAAAGCTGTGGCAGATTATACAGGGTGGTATGTTTTCAATGGTGGGACAAAAGAAAAGTTTCAGAAAAGAATGAGTCCCTGTTTTAAGATCACAATTTGTGCAATTTTAAAATCCTTTGTTTTGTATATAATGTCAAGACTGTGGTGTTCAAACTGTACTTAGTATTACGCCAATTCAATTATCAAATTTAAATGCACCCATTCCAAATCAGGAACGATACAGGCTTCCTGTATATTGAACTCACGATATACTTCTTTCACCACCCGCTGCTTAATTCGCTTCTCTAAACCGCCTATATAGCCTATAATAGCCTAATTGCCTCGATCAATATATTTAATCATACATTACCTCCTATAAATAGAGTCGGTTCTGAACTTGCCGATGTCGAGACTAGGGGCGTGAGGCCGATGGATAATGAACGTATCCGGCAAGACAATGTACCTATATAAATCTTCAATTTATGGCATTGCGCTACAGGGTGGTCGTATTCTGTAATTTTATTAGATAGTGCATTTATAAAACGCCTCTTACTTGTAATCTAATACCGTCAGATGGGTTAAATAGGAAACTTTGTTCCATCCGAAACCGATGAACCTCGTGTCGTAACGAGGGGCCAATTTCGAGACCACTATGTACGGCTCAAAATCTGGTTCCCAAGAGACCTACGGTGACATTAAACTTCATTGTTTTACGATTTACATATGACCCGTTCATGGCACAAATCGATTAACTCCATAAAACAAAAAGTTGAGAAATGCGATGAAATATAAAAATTTATGACTATACGAAGTGCTTTGACACTTAAATTTGAGATTTTTCAAAAAGTGGAGTTAATCGATTTGTGCAGTGAACGGCTCATATGTGGCGACCGATGTATACACGTACTTCATACGGTTCCATTGTGTTTCGCCAATAACTGTAATTCGTGGCTGCGTGACCCTGCGTCCAAACGTGGTACCGGAAGGTGTACAGAACGCCACGCTTCAGGAACTTTAACACCTCGTCCTTATTTGCGGGGAAAGTGAACCTGTAAAACGTTAGTGCAACAGGCTATTCGTTCATTTGAATCAGAGATGGGCTTACCGATACTTTGTTAAAATATTGATCAATTCGTTATGGTGAATAAGTTGACAGTGACAGTAGGTTATATGCAAATCAGTATGTTGAATGATATCTACATCGTCGAGCCCATCTCTGCTTCTATTACACGTCGGCGTTAAGTACCTATAACGTTCAGTCTCAAACGCAGGGACGATCAAAGCTACCCTGTCCGACTCGCTGACGTTCAACTTGGTGATGTAGCCCATGAGGCTCTCGTGCAGGCCATATTGCGGAAGAAAGTCCACGTCCAATTGAAAAATGAACGGAGTCGACACATACGACATGGCAGTGTTTCTCAGATAATTGATCGGATACAGTTCCTAGGGAAAGAGACTACCACAATTATCATAAATCGTGTCGGAGTAATTGGATATTCCACGCTAACGTTCCTCTACTCGTTTATCAAAATACAGTCACCTCCCTCAATAGGACTGGTCACGGGTCATAAGGAGAATAATTTTCCTGGAGTCAGGTTTTCTCACTAATACCCTATGTTCGACTCCGAGCAGATACTGTGCGTACTCTGTCAATAGCGCCGGTCCATTATGAAGTATTTAAATTAAGGCGCTGGTCATTAAAAGACATTCGGTTTGTTAAATTGTTACATTTCAGGCATTTATCATGCGATTCTAACAGTTAAAAGTTAGTATTCGCTCTCAGTCGTGTGTACATAATCGTGGTCACATTTCTAGTTTATTGTGGTGAAAACTTGTATATCATTGTGATCTAGTTTGTAAAATTTCTATTACCAATAATTTAATCTAGATATTTGCATTTTCACTATTATTTAAAAAAAAGACGCCATTGAATAATAGTAATTATAATCTTTGCCATTTTCATTACACATTTTTAATATTTTAATGTACTTCTAAGCTTTTCTATGTACTTCTTTACAATTTAGATTAAACAGGACTGTTAACGAATTTCTAGTAGAATAGGCCAGATGTATGTTTTGATTTCAATACTTTTTCTATGTATATATATTATAAAGACATTTAAATAACATTCAATGATTTGGGAACATAAAAAATAAGGTTTAAATGTAACTTTTGGTTCGCGGGCTTATTGAGAGAAATGCTAGTTTCACTACTCATGAGCATGGCCAAGATATAAAGTAGAGAAAGCGTTCGAGCGCTGATTGAGAAGAACGACTCTATTGAGAGAGGACCTATCAACCCTTTGCACTCGACGACAGTTTTGTTACAGAAAGCTAACCTTTTAAACGACTAAACTTTCTTCTATCATTATTGAAGAGTCATGGAAGCAAAGTGTCCTACTACTACTTCAGAGTGTACCAGTTTACAGCGTAGGAAGCTATTTATGGTCGCTAAGAACAGTTCAAGATTTAATGAAATCTAAGATAAACAAAGACTGTAAGTCGTCCCTCGAGTGCAAAGGGTTAAGAGAGGTGAGTGTATCTTCCAGCCTCGATATCTTATTATTGGAATGTTGTCCGAAATCCTCAGAACCAGACATCAAGAATGAGAGAAGGACGCACCCCGTCTTTGTAGACGACGTGATAGGCGATGTTCTTTCTCTTGCGCAGCTCGATGGAGCCGCGGACGAACTCGAGGAAGTTCTGCACCTCCGCGTCGGTGAGGTATAGCGCGACGCTTATGGTGCCGGGCCAGTGTTTCGACAGGTCCTCCAGCAACGGTATTCTTTCCACGCTACACTGAGTTACCAGAGCAACGTCCGCCGGAGCGTACACGTTGTATTCGTACTCCAGGAGGAAAGGATGCGTGCGATACAACATGGTCGCGCCTCTCATGAAATCCCGACAGGGACTTGATTCGTTGTACTGAAAGGTAGAAAACTGTGGTGTGGAACTAGTAGACCCTGGGGAGCTGGAAGCATTCGCCTGGGGTGGAATTAGGATGCGGTAGGAATTTTTTGAACTATTTATTTGAATCAAATCATATGGTGATTTTCATGTGGCGAAGCTTTACTTTACATGTTTTTAGGTGGAAGATTTTTTAGAGGATTTTTACTTACAAGGTAAGTAATTATACTGATTAGCCCATTCACTGCCAACTACGAGATGTTTCAAATTGATTGCAATCACTCAAAGAATAAGTTTATAGCCTTTTGAGTCACGAATTATTGCAAAAGAAGATTGTAAATTTTCTTCTTAAAACAACAAATTTAATATCACTTTTTATTATCAAAATAATAACCTACATTACACATCTGTATTAAATCTTGGCGCATAAGGCAAAATGCTTTTAATTTGCCTGGCAGTGAATGGATTAGTAATGAAACAGTAGACAAACTGCTCAGGATTGCTTAACAATACGAGCAAACATCTTGAATACGGTTTCTGATGCAGGAAGAATGTCTACAAATAATATATTTGAACAATTAGTTTAAGAATACCTCCAGTATGGTGGGGTGATGACTTGAATATATTAAAATAAAATAATCTTCTCCAAAGATTCCTCGAGTTTTATCAGAAATCTTACCCCCGAATTATTCAATTTTACTGACGCAATAGAATTCAAATCTCCAAGGATTTCGCCTCTCTTTTCAAAGTTAAACTTGCCGGCAACTCGAGCTGCCAGTGTGGTTGTTCAGAGCAGAATCTCAACCATGTAACGTAGCAATGCTCAATCCTTAATTGCAATAGGAATAACATGACTCGTAGCATTTGTAAAATCGAACTTTATCCGCCTCATACAATAGATCTATTCCTCAGCGAACCAATGAATCAACCATTACTAATTATATTCAAGTTTCTAAAATCTCATGGTCTATCGTCGTAAGTCATACATTGTTCCTAATCTACTATCAGGTAATACTGTAATTATTTAGTAATTGTTTCTCAGTTTCACTTCTATGTAATAGTGTAATGTGTACTGTTTGATTTAATTATAATTTAATTGCTAATATGCTCAGTAATGAGTATGTTGCTAATAACCTCGTAAGGGATTTAGTTGCCTAATAAAAAGAGGGAGTTAATTTCAAACTTAACCCTTTGCACTCGACAACAGTTTCATTACAGAGAGCTAAAAATTTAGACGACTAAACCTTCTTCTTCTTCTATCATGAATGGAGAGTCGTGGATATAAAATATCTTACTACTACTTCTATGTGTATCAGTTTATAGCTCAGAAACCCGTTTATGAACGAATGAAATGTAAGATAAACATAGACTGTCACTTCTAAGTCGCTCCTCAAATGCAAAAGATTAAGATCGATAGCGTACAATCGAATTACAGTCAAACTCCAGTTACTTTGCTTGCCTCATAAAGTACTTTGAACAGAGCAATTGTGGTTTGCCAATCGGTTTTGAAATCACGACTTACTTGGGACACTGCTTCGTGTTTATCGCAATCGAATAGGCGTCTGCGCAAAAGATTCCCGTCCATCTCGAGGAAGACTTTATGCCATTTACGGAACTCGTTGATGTGCTTATTATATACATCCTGCTTTCGAGGGGAATTCCAATGCACGATCTAAAAGGAACCGCGAGGAAAGCTTTTGAAACAATTGTCTTCGAACGTAAATTCAGCAGAACTTTCGTTATGTGAACTAATCGATGACAAAACATTTGGATTAAGAGAATATTCCGTTTGCATCATTTATTATTCGTAATGTTCGCATAACGGAGGTTCTATCGTGCACCTAATAGGTGCCACCTATCCCCAAAGCCAGAGCTTTACGTACGCTTATCCGTCCAGAGTCGCGGTAGCAAAGATCGCTGATCGTGTGCTCGCTTAGCTGAATATTCCACGTGCACTCTATTCTGTACACGATGGAGGGATGCTCTTTGATAACAGCATTTATCACATCCTGATCGGCCAAACTAGTTTCCGGTATTTGTGCCAGCACCCGTTTCGTGACCGTTTCCCAGAGGGTTGTAAATTTTCTGTTACGGAGTTGCTGCAAGTCCATTAGCATCACGCCTGTGTTGAAGCCTCTGCTCAAAGCTGGCCATGGTCGCTGACCGTACGATAGCGCCTTTATGTACCAATGGCTTTGATTCTCCGTCAATCCAAGGGCTTGATCGTCCTCAAAATTCTCGAAGGATCGCCAAAGCAAACCGACGTCGTTCAAAACGGTCACGTCGGTGTCGAATACGAGGACCTTGTCCACCCGCATCGCATCCGGCAGAATTAACTTCAGCAAACCGTAAACACCCGAGTAATGCTTGTTTGGGATCCACGACACCTTTGGCACCCATAGTTCGGCCTTGTAATACGTCAGGTTCACTAAAACGAAGGAACGTAACTAGCAAGAACCGCCGGCACCGGATACTCGCGACATTATCGACTCTCATCCGTTCCTCGAGCAACGCGAGATTTGAGATTATCCCTTTGCGGATCCTGGATGCCCTCTACGAGGAGACATCGTAAGTCTAACAAATTTGGTTAATGATTATGTAGAACAAATTTATGCTAGAGTAAATTTGTTAAAAATTCATGTTTTCTTGAAGTTTCCTTATTGGAATTGCACGAGAAATCAAACCAAAATATGGTGTATATGTACATATAAGGAGATTTAAAGAAAAATATATGAGCAGGCATTACGTGGAAAGAGTGTGAAGTAAAGGGTATCCTAAAAGAGGCTTCAGGGTTTTGTTTTTAATAATAAAATATACCTGTCAACTTGGCGTAGTGGACACTTTCAATTATGTTTAATTACAATCATGTGTACTTTATTTAAAATATACCAATTGAACATATTCAATATATATTACAATATATATAATACATCATAGAATATATTGAATATATTAAAAAACAAAATTCCGAAGTTTCATTTGAAAAATCCTTTATATTTGCAGTGGTGTCAATACTTCAAGAAAGCTAGAAGAATTTATAATCAAGTCTAATAATACCAAAAAAGACACATTTTCAAAGTTAGACTATTTAATGTAATGCGATTCCTGTTCGCACATTCTACAACGAGATGGTGCAGAGTGCAAAGGGTTAACACTTCGATGGCCGTGTGGAGTAAACTGGCCAATTGGTTCCTGTCGAGTCTATTTTGTCCAAGCCAGTGACAATTCCTGGTTTTTCAAGTCTCGTATTAATCTTTCGTGGGAATGTATTTGCATAAAGTAATATGGGGCTACTTTGGAAGCTCGTTATAGTCTAGTGGACTTGTGGAGTGGAAGATTATGTCCTCGAACACATGCTATACGGGCCAGAAAAATTCACACGGCCATCGGAAGGTTAATTCGTCGCTCAAATTTAGCTCAGCCGGTGCTTGGCACGATAATTGTTACAATTAGGTCATCGCGTGTTTAATCATTTTTGTGTCTCGTTGTACATCCAGAGGACATGCATAACAAGACTGGTATAATTGAATGATGACATTTTAAGTGTTGTATGAATTAAAGTGTTAACAAAAATAATAAACTACTTCATATTACTCTCTAATACAGAATAAACTTAATTGCAAAAGGTTGTAGATAAATGTACGTTTCTTCGACACATACAATCAGTCGCGTAAGTATTCGTACCCATATGGCTAACGATTGTATTTATGGCAAGTGGAGATACTGAGAAATCTATGAGAATATGCACAAATACAAAAATATATAAAATATCAAGAATAAAATACATGTTACACTGTTTAGAACAGAAGAGATACTTTCGTTTAAACTTCATTTCTATTATCTATATCTATAGAAATATCAATTTGCATTTAAACGTCTGCAGTCTGCTTACGCCTATCAAAGAAAGTCTAAATTAAATTATAGCTTTGGTGTTTCCAAATAAATGTTTACGTGTATGTATCTATAATGAAATATTTAGTTGGAAACATCGAATCTATCGTTTAGTTTAGACAAATTTCTTCAAAAAGCATAGAGGGTACGAATACTTATGGGACTGATGGTATATACACATTTTGCATGTACAACCTTTTTACGTTAGAAACTTTACATTTTTAAATATAATATTCTCAAACAAAATCCCACCCACTTCAATTGTAAAATTCGAATACTTAATAGCCACGTGCCTTCCATGTCACCTCAAATTCGCAGACCCACCTGGTCGTAGATTAAAACGAGACATCCTCGCGTCTAGATCTAATGCATTAGTCTGCTAATCCATCCCGTCCCGAGGAACGGGCGAGAATAGTAATCACGGCTCTTTACTAACCATGCGGTAAATCCCATGTGCGAAACAGGGTCGTCAGAGTTCTCTTCGCGATTTCGTCGACGAGCAAGTGAAAGTGCAAAGGTTTAGTGCGGTAGAATAAAATGGATTTTACTACTGTCACCAGAGAGAACGTGGAGTTGTATCCGGCGCACACCATCGCGATGTGGATGGTCTCGCATTTTACCTTGAAAGAGATCCAGAACAACTATCGATCACTGATCTTCGACGGTTCGAATGTTCGTTACATTCGGAGTTTCGCAATATCGAAGACCAAAATTGGAGAAATTAGAGGTGACACTAATGTTCGCCACTATGTTTTTACCTCGGCACGATTACTCTCTAAGCGCAACTTGTGGAGAATAGGCCCATCCACGTGAAAACTCGATTTTTCTATATCCACAGAGAACGGGCCTGATTTTCCATCGAGTTTGAAGGAACCGATTCCAGCGGAAGGAACTACAATAAGAAATCAACAGGTAACGAGAAACATTCGAGAAAAGTCAGAGGTAAATAATTACTCTCTCTCTATGAGTGGAGATTTCGAGTGCATAATTCTTTATTTCGATGTTGCCACTCTACTTCTATATTTAATAATATCAAATTCAAAATCTGTGTGCTTTTGATTTCTGTAAATCCTCTATTCGTTTTACTCAAATTTTTTATTCAATGATTAAAAAAGTGTAATTATTTATATCTGATCTTTTTAAATTGTGAGAATTTCCATGAAAAACAAGAGAACTTATTTCGATGAAGAACCAATGTAAAATTAACGGGGAGTGTTACCGTTCAATAACAAATACAGGTAAAAGATCGTCGATGGTATTAAAATGCCGAATAAACACCCTAGCCATGGTCGAGCCATTGGAATATGACGGACATATTTCCCAACTCGCAGAATGATTAGCGAGTGGACTTGGTCGTACGAATTCCGAGATCTATAAGTAAAAATTCGGTATTGTACACATTATTTAACATCTACAATGTTAATACACATCAAAATATACGTAGTACTTTATTACTAATAAATATTTATCAGACGAGAGAAAGTTTGCCCTTCGATTTTAGTTTTGTTAGGATCGAATCCGACGATTCTACGCCGAGATACGACAATTTAAAGTTCCCGTATCGATTGACTAAGATGAATGGAAGGAGGTGACCTATATAAATATAGAACCCCACAAAAATTCCTGAAAATGCGTACGCGATTCCGAGAAATAACGGTAGCCCTAGACGTAGCCGTCTGGCATTTTTTTTTCCTGGAAGAACTCGGCAACATTCATTGGCGTAACTACCAGGATATTCGAGGTTTTCATAGGCGTATGCATCAATTTTTTCCTTCACATCGTAAATGAGGTAAACTGATATTTATGTTTCTTTTTCTATTGTACAATCGAGATTTTAGAAAAATTGTGCAAAAATAATTGAAAGTACATATTAGAGACAATTCAATTCTACAAAAAAAAAAGTACTTCGATCTTATCTTCTATCGGTTACAATGAAAAGAAAATGTAATGAAATTTTAGTTTTTTGCGCATCTTCTCAAATTACAAAGGGAAGAGGTTATTTGTTGCTCGAATGATGGTCTTTTTCGAAGAAGCAACAGCGTCGAGAAGCTCGATTGAAATTACAGTATGGTAACCGAATCTCTGCCAACACATACCTCTGGTAACGTGACTTTTTCCCTCGACTGTCATCCAATTAAATCCATTACTCGAAACTACTTTGTGTGCGGTTTCGAGGGCGATCCAGAATCCTCCGCGTCAATTTCTACACAATAATTCAGCTCGAGCGCCGGTACACGTTCACGTCTCAATGGATCGGTGATGTGTCTCGCAGCGTTCGTCGTAAACCAAGCGAATTCGCGTAATTACAGTTACCGAGGAACACAACGTCGGAACGACATGCATCCTAAACACCCGTAGCGGGAAGTCTAACCGTAAATAGTTTAATCACTGGGTAACGCAGTGGTAGAATTACCACTCGGTTCTGAGCGTCGCGACGCGAGACGTCGAACGGTCGGTTATCAGTCGCGTAGTTAGTTGCTCGCTATCGTTACCAGAGGGCATGACACACTATTGTCTGAATGTAGCCGCACGTGTTGCACATCAACCATAAAGTACTCCAGCGAACTAGTGGGTGTAGAATGTATTCGTACACCGATCAATTTTCCTAAAAACTTTTGTGTGAAATTGTAGTTTCTTAACTTCCTTTTTTATAATCAATGATATTTTACATATTCTCGGAAATCTCTAAGATAGATATAGTCCAAACAACATTTACTAGTTAATATAATTTGTGAAATTAACAGAAAAAATGCGAAAAGTGGGTAAAAGTATAGAAGCAATAAGCATTTGTACGATTCTTATGACGAATCATTTGCAGTAGAGTTTGTAACGTAAACACATCAGTTTATTGCTCCGTACGAATTAGAAAACATCAAATTTCCGGTAAAGTACTTCTAAACAGTACTTATTGCTTCAACATTTCCATCGATTAATTGTTTTTTTCTTGTTCATTTCGCAGCTTACATAAATTGCTATTTTTTTTTTGTAATCTATCTATTCTAGAGATTTCCGAGAATATATAGAATGTCATTGTTTGTAACAAATGAGTTAATAAATTACAATTTTACACAGTCTTTTTGGAAATTGATCGGTGTACGAATACTTTCTACACCCACTGTATACTAATGCTGAAACGCGCCTGCCGAGAAAGAGGGCAAATTGGTGGGCAGTCGTTTCTTGTTGTACTCTCCTGAAAATGAAGTAATTTAAATGATGGTATATGGATCTGAAGTACATGCAGTTTACGTTTAGAGAAGAATGGGTTGCGCATCAAGTGCCCACCAAATGCTGTATATTCGGCAGCCACGTCCTGCATGACCACTGAATTCTACTAATTTAATAATATGGTCTTATTACTATTAGTATTTAGTTTTTTCTTTATTAACGACAGCTAAAACTCTCGTAGATCTATGTGTCCCTTAGACAATTACATATAATTGCGTGTATATAGTATTATATTTATATAATGTACGGGATTACAGGTGATTCATGTTCATGTACTGCACAGAGTCTGATAATAGGAGTTGCTGTGATACTATGATAAACTTACAGCTAATACGGTAGTCTAGCCTATTCCAATTTAATTTAGTATATACTTGGAAATGCAACTAAACATAGTTTAAATTGATTAGGTTTTAATACTAAATTAAGATTTTGTGTCATTTCAAAAATGTATCGATATTAGTACACTTTCGCGGGTCTAGTACTAGTGGCGCTATCAGTGGAAAAACGCCCAAGTTTGCAGGGAAAATAGTTCCCATCGTTTTTACAATGTGACGCCACCGATACATTTTTACATTTTCAACCATATGTAAATATTTCATGAATAGAAAATCCTCCTGTATCACAAGTACTGTAAATGAACTACACATACACACTCGAGAGTTGTAATATTATATCCGGGCCTATAGGCTCGGTAGAGCCTATGGCCACTATCAATAAATTCAATTCAATTCAATTTTTCATAATTAATACGACTTTATATTTGATAGTAAAAGTAGCTTCATTTCATCTAAAGTAATAAGGATATAACATGATAAAATGATAAAAGCATGCGTTAATATGTACAACTTATCATGTTTATAACAATTTTCACGACAAACTTGCATCTTTCCTCACCGATGGCGCCACTAATACTAAAACTATTACCCTTTGCGGTCGTATGTCAGGAAATAGTCTCCCTATGAATTGTAATCGACCTGTGTACGAATAGAAGCTACAGAAACGAAATTGCGTTTCTTTTTTAAATTAATAAAAGTTTGGATAACTTAAGATACAGTTACTTAACCCTTTCGCTACAAAGTTCGATTTTTATTATCATTCTATAAAATATATATGTCACAGTCTATTTTTCTATTCTACGATAGTACAAAATTGCAATAAAGAGTTCAGTGTATATATTACTTACATAATAAATAAACTAATTCGTTGCTTTATACATACAATTTATATCCTAGGAAGAAGTCCCAACGAAAGGGTCTTTCGTTTGTTTTGTTAAATAAATGTTTCGTTCTATATTGCGATTACTTACGTTAGCGTGAACATTAAAACTAATCTAAGCATACTATGAATACATTCCTTATTCGTAAGAGTGCCTTGAAATGAAAAAATGATATTATCATAGTGATGACGTGAGACAGATTATAAAAAATTTTACTATTAAAAAACTAATACTATTCAATTAATTTCTGTCGCTCTACTTGAATATGGTGCAGGTGGTTCATCCTCTGCGATTTTCTTTAAATTCTGCAGTTCTGTGCTTCTTGCGCTGTATAAAGATTTCAAGTATTAGTATCACATCGAGAAACAACTACGGTTGTTCGTTACACCGACATTTATGATTTGTTTAAATTATGATACCTAGTTTCTGCTTCTTCCTCTTCTCGCGCTTTCTTTCGTTGTTTTAAAAGTCTGATCGCCGCAAAAACTATTAGGAGTATAATTGGAATTAGGCAACCAAGTACTATACCAGCTGTAATTCCTGCTTGGCGAGAACTGTATTCCTGTTGACCTGTGATTTTTAATGAAATTTATATTATTAATATTAATTCAGGGTAACAACCCGATGAAAAGTTTAACAATCGCTGTATTGATAAATAATCTCAGAATAGATATAAGATAGCTATGTACCGTACATGCATGTACACCTATAGAAGAAAGGATAAAGGTGAAAGGATAAGAAATAACAGAAAACGATGACAATAGTACTACTTGTGGAAATTTCCATTCCACTGTAATGATTCTGACCAATGCTTGAAACGTTTTGCAAAAGTTTTAGTAAATGCATGTGGAATAGAAATTTCCAGAATATTGAAGGATACAAAAAAGTTTATTGAACTGTATTTTTACATTAATTAGCAAGCATTGTAAGCAGTTGCGCTACATTACATTGCATCATTGAATTTACAAACTTTGTTACCGCATTTTACTGCGCTTGAAATTTATTACACTTTATAAAACTACTTGTATACACTACACGATGAACAGAATTCTATAAAATGAAGGACATTTCTATTCCACAGCAAAAACAGAAGATGTAATTTACACGTGAAAAAGAATAATAATGATATTTAATGTATGCTTGTTTTGTACGATGTAACACGGAATTATTCCGAAAATGTAGACACGAGTTATTACGATCAATGAAAGAGAGAGAGAGTAACATGTTTATAAATATTTGTCATAGAAGAAACGCTTCCAATGATTACATGTGTAAATGGTGAAGTTTTGGAATGTCAAGTACGCTATGTGAATTATTCGAAATTGTTTGTTAAATTCTCAACGTTTAACGTCCTCTGAACAATATTATACGTCGCTTTCTTTGCTGGGACTTCCAGCTTTTCTAACGGACTCTATCATACTCTTTTCCGATTCTGTCGGAGAATTAGGTTCTTTGAGGTCCCAGTCTTTGTCCTCGAAATCGACATCGGGCATATTTGGCAAAGGCTCATTGGTACGATAGACTTTATCATAGCTATGACGCTTTTTGCTGGTACTCGGTGTAGTACTAGTGTCGCTAGTGGGTGAAATCGCTCTAACGTATGGTTTTAATGGTGTGGTCTGTCTCAATGTAGACTCATTGTCGGCATTAGATTCGCGCAAAGAGTAACGCCAAGACTTTACGGAGCTTCCATTCGATTGTTGCTTTCTTATATAAAGAAATGCGCCCCCGATAATTGCTACTATTGGAATCAAAACGGCGCAAATAATACCCATTGTCGTCCATGCTGTACGCTGCGCATACTCGACGTTACCTATATTTATGCAACACCAAACACTTTTTATTTTTCTATCTGTGAGCTCATGAAACCTAAATGAATTGGCATTTTTTATGCATGAATGCGATTATTGAATTCGAAATGACTTTAACGGGAGTGAAGTGGAAAATGAGAAAAGAAAATCGTAAAATTGAGGGAGTTGGGTGAGAAAATTTGTACAGGATTACGATGTGTTCTTCGTTGTGAATGTAATAATGTTGTAGCGTATGGTGGGTTAATACCGTGCAGAAGCGAAGTCACCGCTCGAAATAATTAGAGGATCGCTTGCTTAAACAATTAACTCAACCGAAGAATTGTGATACATTTTGTTGCTATTACTTTTTCACTTGAAAATGAGATCCAAGCACACGCATCTAACTAATTTTGCTAAACTATTCACAAAGATCCCCTGAATATCTCGAGTAGTATATCATCGTGGTGCTTTTAGAAAGTCATTGTTCAAATACTTACGTAGACACTCCGTGTATCCATACTCTGGAACGTCCCAGCGACCTTGTGGCGTGCAGACACGCCGTTGATCGCCAATCAGTATGAAATCCTGATTACACTCGAAGGTCACTTTCGTGCCAGGTGTAAAGAAGAAGTTACTCTTGCGGCCGAATCGCGGCGTCTCCAATACACCGCAAGATATTACTGAAAACAATCGAATAAACCCATAGATGAAGCATGGTTTTCAAATGAAACAATTTCCACAAGTCTTCGCGTAACTCACCTGGATCTTCCAAATTGGTATATCTTATCTTAGTATACGTGTCGTAGTAATTTCTTGTGAAATGGGCTGCATCCCTATTGAGGGTCATCGAGTAGTCGTATTGGCATTGATACGAGTCTCCACAGAGGTCTAAAGCTTGTTTTACATCATCCGTCCTACGACAGATCGACATAAGTCACATTTTTCTCAAAATAATTCGGTGTCCATCAATTTTAAGCAAAACGTTAATTACCTGTTAGACGGTATTATTTCCTGAGCGAACTTCCGATATTCAGGTTCAAACGTTCTGTTGGCATAGTAACTGGCGGTCCTGCCAAATTCTCTGGTGAACAGAGCCCCTCCTTTTAAGTCGTCCTCCTTGTCCTCCAGCATCCACTTTATCGCGAAGTCTCTGTGCACAGCTTCGAAGTGGTTCAGATTGGTTGTCGTCACCGGTTGACCATCTGGGGTCAACAGGTCGTCCGCGATGTCGACGTTCCATTTGCCAAAAAGTCCTGTGGTCTTGTTCTGAAATAAACCAAACGCGTTACCAATTCTCTTTCATTCTTAAACGCTTTACAGTCGAATCTGTTTTTGTGCGGTTTTGTTTTATGCAATTTTTTTTTGTGCAATTGGATTTGTGTGATTTTTTTTATGCGGTATATGAAAATATTATGATACGGTTGATTTGAATTTAACGTGAGCATATAACTGGGATCGATTATTAATAAAGGAAGAAAAGCGAAGCGACGATCGCGTATTGTTGGAATGCATCGTCTATTGTCTATTGCATTGCGGATAGTGAATGGCTTGACATTAGCTACTTACTTAAGATAGAATTAATTCTTAAGTGAGATTAAAGGTAAATTGACTATTATTTCTATTTAGATATAGTTTTTTATGAGTTTTATTTTTAGACATAAGTGCTCCCTTAAAATGAATATTTCTAAACGAAAAATTTTTTATTCGGTCCCTTTCTTCCACCGCATAAAAAAAAGTTTACTTTAATACGGTATGAAAAATTATTTATTACAGCTATTTATGGAGTTTCTAAATATTTCTTTTATGCATTTTTTACGCGGTCCCTATCTACCGCAAAAAATCAGGTTTGCTTGTACTGTGAGGTTATTTTGTCCCTTTTGAGACCTGTGCCTTACCAAGTAGGTCCAAGGTAAGTAGACCCTGGCCGTCATGAATCCCTCGTTTTCTACCACTTCCACGCCGGCACCAGTGTCGAACATAATGATCACTTCGCTCTGGTTTAAAATGTACGTTGGCGTGTAAACGACCACTCCAGGGAAGTGTTGGAACTTAATTGATGGTCTGTCGAAGTACACTCGCCGATTATCCGCGAAAACATCCAGACGGTATCTCCACTGGGCGTGTTTTGGCCTCAGACGAACCTCGATGGGGATAGAGTTGTTTCCCCTAGCTGTGAAATGAATTCAGGATTCCAGGTTATCGATCCTAAGAGTGTTTTGAACACTTTATGTCAATTTTTTAATAGCTTTCGTAACTTAAAATGATTGGCTCTGAAGTAAGGAATAATGTCTTCTTTTGAGTGAAAAAGTACGTGTGAGGTACCTGCAATGGACGTCAATTGCGTAGCTCTGACTTCGCCGTACAAGTTGTTCGGCATTTGCTCGAACCTAGCTTGAACATCCAACTTGTCCTTCTCGTTGTTCACTCGTACTAGAACGAATTCGCCTTTCCCGTTGAACGTGTACTCTAGATTGTCGAACGTGATGATGTGGGGATCGCCGAACACCGTCGCCACCGCAGGAGATTGATAAGCCACGCAGTCTTGGGTAGGTCGTCTCTCGAATCTGAATGTCTCGCAACCGACCGCGTGCTCCTCTTGCCACATGCAACACATGTAGAACGGTAATATGTCGTGGTACCAGTGCGAAAGGGTGGGTACTTTGTTCGCCTCGTCCCAGGGGTAGTACCCAAGGTTGTGTGATCGATGCGGCCTTGAACCCCACTGCTGGTCGTACGTCAGCATCAGGTAACCGTATTTGTCGTAGCAGCATTGTTGCTCGGAACCGTCCATACTACAATTACAATGGAATGTAATATATGTATTGTCTGCATGACTTAAAAACTGTATAGTCCTGTATAGATACTAGAGAATCTCGTAAGCAAATGAAGCATATAATTATTATTCTTGATTTATAACCGTGTTACTCGAGTGTCGGTGTTATTAAAGTAACGTAGCCTTCGTTGTGATAAGTGTAAGCTTTACCGCTGATTACTGATAAGATTAGTGTCAACTATATTTATCATTTAACGAAAGAGTCTCAAAGTTATACCAAAAGTTAGTCGTACATCATCTATGTTTCCTTGATATTTCTACACTTCAGTCTAGCACAATATAAACATCGCTATTTTTCTGTTAAGGAACAGAAAGAATGATAGCATTATCTATTGAATATTTATGTATACTTACTTAGGTGCACCTGTTCTCACGCAGTGATGCGCATGCTGATTGTAAATACAATCCAGATTCGCGTCCTTGTCGCAGTCGTAGTCCGGAAGGAAACGTCCTTTATCGTACAACGCGTGCTTCAAGGAGCACGGACACAGGGATATTTCCGCAGCGAAGTTTTTCAGATACCTATCGTTCATGATCCACTTATCGCAGAGTCGTTGGGCCCACTTCGACCCGTACACTCGTTCCCATTGCGGACCAAAGTACCACCCCAATGGGATTGGCCTGCTCCACAGGCTCCTGCAAAGATCTCTTGCGTTATTGCTCACATGTAAATTGGAAAAGTATTATCTTGCTCACGAGTTACGTACGGCGTGATGTTGTGGCCTGTGTTTTGCTGCGGATCCGTTAAATTCAGCATGATAAATCCAAAGGCCATGTCCTGCTGATAGGGATTGTACTCGTCGCGGTATTTAGCTGGCTGGATGATGTAGTAGCCGAGATTCGTGTACGAAGGCTGTAATTTTGTCGGTGTCATATGTACTTAGAGAATTATTTGTGGAACATTTTCTGAATTGTTCTTTAACTCACCTCCAAAGTAGTGATGTACTGAAAGTCTGGTAAAGTTTTGGTTTCGCGGTATCCCCACAAGGATATCTGCACGCCAGCGTTCAAGTTGCTGGTCAAGTTGTATCGATCCCATGTGATTTTTATTTCAGCCGGTTGTCGCTCGTGAACCGATTGAGCAACGTAGATCTTCTCGGTAGCTGTGGCTGGGGTCTCTGCGAAACCCGTGGACACGGTTAATAATTTTTATACGAAGATATATCTCTGTTATTGCTAAGCAAATTCAACGAGTGAATAACTTGCAATCGATAAGGTACTATAATTTAATAGATTTTTATTCAAACTAGTTGTTTCATTACTGAAAAGGTAAATGCTTTAACATAGGAGAATGGCGTGTAACCAATTCTTCTTAAACTAAAATTATAAGAGGCATATGAGCCGTTCATTGGACAAATCGATTAACTCCATAAAAATAAAAAGTTGAGAAATGCGATGAAATAATGTACATTATTTTTTTAAAATTCCCTTTATAAATATTCCCTTATAATAATTCCCTTTATAAATATTATAAAGTCAACAATAATCGTCAATAATGTTACCAATGAAATATTTTCCCTTCCAGTCGTAAGATTTGCTATCCCCGATGCTGATGGCGAATCTGATGTATCCCTGGGCCTTCACAAAAGGCTGGACACAGATGGCGCGATTCCTATCGATCACTGTACCGATCACCCACACGGTCTCGAACATGCATCGAATCTTTTGAGTCTCGTTGAAACACGGACCAGTGATGTTGACAATGGTCCCGCCTAACATGTTTCCGCTTTCTGGCGCGAACACCAGAGGCAAGTTTGCCCCAGCTGTAACGAAAAGAATCGCGTGTAATCGGATCGTTCTTGCTCCTCAACTTCTCTCTCGTTCGAACCTACCGATATCCTTGTTGCAAGTCCCGAGCATGATCTTCTCGTCTATCCTGAAAATGTGTCGTCCTGGGAAACGGTTCGCCCATCCTCTTCCTGTCAAGTCGCGAATCGTAGACATTTGAGAGTAGGGTTTGTATTCATAGGACTGCGTACCGTTTCCAGCGTTGAAACCGACCTGAATTGCAAATCATAATGAAAGAAACGTGACGAAGCTCGCGATAAATAGTGCACCTTGTTCGAATAAGCTGTTAACAAATCAGCAATTCTTAAGGAGGAGCATTTAAATAGTCTTTTCAAGTACGTCGAAGAAGCGATATCGAACTAATTCGTTGAAAGCGAATATCTCCACCCTGTAGAGTAAATGTATAAATACGTTCGTATATTACATTCCATCTGCTACGATTATTTTTTGATTTAACCGATAAGATAAAGTGACCATAGTTTTATCTTTATCACTGACTTACAAACGGTTCTGCAAGCGTCGGTCGCATCGTAAGCCTGCATGGAAAACTACCTTTTTCTTATATTATACCATGACTCTTCATATTTATTCGTGTAATATATATTATACTATTCCTGCAAGTTATTTGTCTGTGAGTCATATTGTCCCTTATAGTGAAAGCCATCTTGGCTTTACATTTGCTCTATCCTCTTCGAAAACCAGCGCTACTTTTCTTACTGGTGTAGTTATTCCAAACACCAGGGTATTCTATCCGAGATCACAGTGTCTCAGGTAAATTCTGGCATTAACTACAACGAATATCCGACTTACAAAAGCTGGAACACCGCCTTCTCCGCCCGTAGTATCGCCACCAGCTTCCGTGTGACTGGACCATTGAATGTCTAAGTAGTTGAATATGACATAGGTGGACACCTCGTCCGTGACCAGAACCATTTGGAAGGTGTTCGTCTTGTAGAGGGAATTATCGATACCACCGGCGAAAGACATGTTCTTCCACGTGATTATAGCAGCGTGCTTGGGGTCGAAGGAGTCGGAACCGATGATGCCCTCGCGGACGTCCCACTTAACACGCTCCCGCATTTCGACGCCGAATTGATCATTCCTCCTTTGCAAGTCTCTCTCGAGCCTGAAATTTATTTTCACAGGCACTCGTTAAGCTGGAGTCTAATAGTTGTTGTTCAACAATACATTCGATGAGAGCTTACAGACCTGAAGTAGACGCCAGGCGCTCTTTGATCTATGTCGTCTTTTCTGACCTCCCCTATGCGACACTTGCTGAAGAATATTCCTATAAAGCTGGGATCGTTCTTCTTTGGCCAGTCTTTCACAGGGAAGACGACAGGGTAAGTGTAGTATACCGGAGGGTCACTGAATTCTAAGTAACCATTCATGGATACCTAAAAGATGGTATATTGGTCTTTTAATGTCAACACTCAGTTGAAGTTTATTTGTTTCTGAACAATTTGTTATTATCAGACATGGCCACTTTTGAAATACTACTTCACACGTTATCTTATTCGTTATGCAGGTAATACGACTTATCATTGCATACTTTAATCGAAGTACTTAATAAAAAATTGCAGGCGATGCCTAGATAATCTCTAGGTAATAGTAACATACATGTAATAGGAACATACTCTGGTGTAATTGAATCTGAAACCAAAGAAGGGCAATTGAAAGTTGAAATTCTTGTGTATCTGTGGCATCGACGTTTGGATGTCTTTTTGATAATCGCCCAAGTCGTTATCACCGCCCTTGTCGAAGAACCAATACATAAACTTGGATCGTATTTCTCTCAGCCTCGCTTCTGTTATGACGTAGTTTGGAACTGAATCGGACGAACGAGGCGCGTACCTGTCCGCGTCAGGTGCATCTGAATCTGCAAGAACGCATCAATTCCAATACTTTAGTTCTTATAAGAAAATGGGATACATATTTGCCTATACGATTGAAACGTACTTTATGTGATGTGTATGGAAATGTGTCTTGCATTTGTTTGCTTCGTACTGTTCGATTCTTTCGTTTTTAGTGTGCGAAAAAAATAGCTTTACTGCTTTTGTGTCATTATTAAAAATAAAAGTATAATTATATAATGAAATTTACTATTCAACCTATAGCCCAGACCTTGTATCACCTTTTCCGAGTAATGATGGATTTTATAAACGAGAGATGATTTACGCACGATAACAAACAATTAGTGGAATGGGGGTGCACAGAAGCGCAATCACTTTTAGAATGATGACACATGATCGTAGGATCACGCCTAGAGTTCTATGTTTTTTTAGTTATCGCTTAGTCAATTAACACTCGCGAAGAGGATCTATAAGAAAGAAGATCGATAATTTTATTAAAATTGTAAACTTGTTCTTATTAATACTCGCGAAGAGGACCTAGAGGAAAGAAGGTCGATAATTTCATTAAAATTGTAAACTTGTTCTAGTGACTCTAAATGAGGTATTCATACTTCCCTTATGAACATTTCACTTCTTTTCGCGTGGTGTACCATACATGGTACTTGCCAATTTTTTTATACTTAATTCTTCAACCTCTATATTTCAAATCAAATTTGACTTTGTATTTCTAAGTTATAGTTCCAAAAATAAAAAACTTGCTACTCTTTATACATTTCATCCTATGTTCTAAGGTATGTCGTGTACTATTTACTATACTGTACACTCTACTATTTATTATCTACTAGATAATAAATCGATGCGTCATTATTGTCACATTTTTTATTGAATTCTTTTACTTCTCCATAATATCAATGTCGAAAACGTATGCTTAGCAGTTAAAAGCATTGTGGACAGAATTGATTTAGGAACATTTCCAGTGATGATATATGGCACGAAAAGGAAGATAGTACTCATTACGAAAGTCGTGGCGACACAAATCTAGTGATTCATCTCCGATTCACGTTAGAGTGAGTAACTGATAAAGCAGATAAGATCTGATTCGTTGGTTGGACTCTATAACAAATAATGCTAGCATTCCGCGAGCATGTACATTGAAGTAATGCTAACACAAACGAAAAATCAAAGTTTTGACGAGTAACGGAATATTCGGCAGACATCAATTTAGGAACGTCCGACGTCGAAACGACTAACTTTATAGACAAATTAGAAAATTAATGGTCACGCCCATTGATATCGAAACACTCACCGTATCTCACATACTTTCCGCTTTTTTCTCCAGCGATTCTCCCAGATATACCTTTAGAAACTGCAATTTCTTCCTTCGGCTCGTTTTTCAGTGGCGAGGGTGGGTCCGACTTTTCTTCGTCCTGATCATCTTCGACGTTGGCGAGGTCCTCCGCTTCTGAGAAGACTTCCGCTGACGATGGGACCGCTGAGCTTTCGTTAATTTCCGTCTCAAAAGCATCGTCGATATTCGTAGACACATTTTCGTCGTTCAGACCATACGCATTCTCGAACGCCTGGTTCTCGATTTGTGCCGATATTCGACTCACCAACGAGATCAGAATGCAACCGAGCACGATCGGTCTTGCGAAATGGAAAGCGCGGTCATGACGAACCGCGATCCGCATTTTTAATTAATCAAGGTAGATGAACCGATTTGTCTAGTGTGAGCAAGGAAACTGAGCTTGGTTTCAGGTAACGAACTCTGATAACGGTACTGATATCAGTTATATGACGATAACGTGCGTTTATCTTCTTACTACAGGTGGATAAGGTAACGCACGTACTGAAACGAATGAAACAAGCAAAGGGCTGGTGTCCCACTTTCGAAAGGGCGTGGATGCCCTTTAAACTGCACGTAGGACAAAGACGATTTGCGGGGATATTGCTGCATTGTTGCAATATTGCGGTTACGTTTGAAATATTACCGTGATATCTATGGCCAATATTGCGTTGAAAAGAATTTGGAAAACGACCCGGCAATATTGCAACGCATTGTTTGCGCAATATTGAGTCGAAAGTGTGTTAAAAACGTTTGGTATTTGGCGTAAAAATTAAACACGAGTATTCTCAATTTATATTGAAATACATATTTTAGATTGAAGAATGACGTTGTTTTGGAACCTCTTGTTCTTACCAATAGAGGGCAAACCGTTTCCCGCAAGTTGTTTCCGATAATCAATCATAGAAGATAACAATCGATAGAGCAGGCGTCTTAGGTTGGAGTTAGGAATTAGGATATTTTAGGAATTGGTATTTTTTGTGTGAGAGATAGACAATAGAATGAAATTTACAAATTAAAAAATATAACATTACAATATTTAAAAAATGTTTTTTAGTATCATGTGTCGTATGAATAATCTTGAATAATATATAGTACAGCTTCCATAGTTAGTCACAAAATTTTTATATTATTTAAATAGTACTTGAACATATTACAGAGTTTACTTGACATATATGCTAAGATATCAGACTCCATTTAGCTTATGTATACTTGTAGCGATCCCACGTGATTTTTATTTCAACATGCTCCCGAATAGGTCCTACGCTTGGAGGTGTTGGTCTCTTTGTAGTTGAAGGCCAAGTGTTTGGAGTTGTTGTAACTGGTTCCCCTGTAATTGGATAATTTGCGAAATATGAACGTAGTTAACGATATTTATTCAAAAAAAGGTCTCCTTGATCATTAAACATATCAAAAGATCATAAAGTTCCGTCTTACAAATGGAGTATTTCCCCTCCAAGGTGTAGGGTTTTTCCTCTCCGATCTTGATCGCGAAATCGATTTTTCCATACGCTTCTACGAATGGCTGAACGCAAATCGCACGACTCCTGTCGATCACTGTACCATCCACCCACACGTTGTCGAACTTACAACGAATTTTCTTAGTTCTGTTGAAACACGGACCGGTGATGTTTACAATCGTGCCTCCTAACTTGTTCCCGCCTGCTGGCGTGAGCTTCATAGCCAGTTTTGCTGCAACTGTAACGTAAAGGATCGCGTAAAATCTGAGCCTTTTTATTCTTTAGATTATTTCTTACTCGGACCTACCGAGATTGTTGCAAGTTCCGAGGGTAATATCTCTGTCTATCTTAAACACATGGCGACCTGGAAACCCGTTAGCTCCTCCTGTTCTCGTTAAATCACGGATCTTGCGCATTTGCGAGTAGGGTATGTACTCGTAAGATTCTGTACCATTTCCAGCATTAAAACCGATCTAAATGCAAATTATAATGAAAAAATTGTGTCGAGTGAACCGAAGAGCAGGGCATATTGTGTTGAATATCTTAATTTATATACGAATGACACTCGTTTTTCTTGATGGATTACGCCGTTCATATTTGAATTAGAGCTAGGCAAGTTCAAATAATTTACTATTCAAATGTTATTAGTAAGATGAAAACTGCGCCTGCTAGATTTCAAACTTACAAAAGCTGGAACACCACCTTCTCCGCTTACGGTATCGCCACCAGCTTCCGTGTGACTGGTCCACTGAATGTCTAAGTAGTTGAAAATGGCATAAGTGGACACCTCGTCCGTGGCCAGAACCATTTGGAAGGTGTTCGTCTTGAAGAGGGAATTATCGATACCACCGGCGAAGGACACGTTCTTCCACGTAGTTACAATAGCGTGCTTGGGTTCAAAAGAGTCGGAACCAACGATGGCCTCGCGAATATCCCATTTAAGACGCTCTCGAAATTCCACACCGAATTGATCAGTTCTCCTCTGCAAGCCTTCTTCGAGTCTGAAGTTCATTTTTGCAGGCAGTGGTTAAGCTCGTGTGTAATGTTTGTTGTTCAACAATACATTCGATGAGAGCTTACAGACCTGAAGTAGACGCCAGGCGCTCTTTGATCTATGTCGTCTTTTCTGACCTCCCCTATGCGACACTTGCTGAAGAATATTCCTATGAAGCTGGGATCGTTCTTCTTTGGCCAGTCTTTCACAGGGAAGACGAGGGGGTAAGTATAGTACTCTGGTGGGTCGCTGAATTCTAAGTAACCATTCATGGATACCTAAAAGATGTTGTATTGGTCTTGCAGTGTTACTCAGTTGGAGTTTATTTGTTTCTTAGCAATTTGTTATGATCAGACATAGCTATTTTTAAAATACTACTTCGCATGTTATCTTATTCGTTATGCAGTTAATACGGCTTATCATTGCATACTTTAATCGAAGTACTTAAGGGGTTAGTCGCAGTCAAGAAAACGGACAGTTTCTTGTGTGTGTGTGTTTTTTGAGGTATTAAATAATAATTTTTATTAATGAAATGTAAATATATTACAAAGTATGTCTTAAAGAACTATAAAAGAATTTTTGTTTTAAAAAAAGGTTAATTCATTTCGTCACAACAGGCGATGGCGTGGGTAGCCATTTGGTTTGCGGTGAGCATGATTTCTTCAAACTGGTGCACTTGAAAACAAAACTAAAGGTAGATTTAGAAAATATATTAGACTAACTTTTCTTGTATACTTTTTTTTTATCCTGTATTGAATCGCTTAATTTTAGTGAAAAAATTCAAAATCTACTTCAAATGCACCCCATTTTGTTTTAAATTAATTTTTTACAAAATCCTTCGATCAGGGACCCGCTAGACTAATCTATTTTCGAAATCTACCTTTGTTTTTATTTTCAGGTAAACCAGTGTTGAGAAATCTTGCTCACCGCAAACCTATATTTTTAAATCATCGTCTACATCATCGGCTGTTATGACGATATAAATTAGTGTTTCTTAAAACAAAAAATGTTTTTTAGTTCTTTAAAACATGCTTTATAATATACTTAATTGTTACTTATTCAAATTATTATTTAATAACTAAAAAAAAAAAAAACAAAGAAATGTCGTTTCTCCTCTTCCTGACTGCGACTAACCCCTTAATAAAAATTGCAGGCGATGCCTAGGTAATCTCTAGATAATATGTAGTAACATGGCGTGTAATAAGAACATACTCTGGTGTAATTGAATCTGGATCCAAAGAAGGGCAACTGAAAGTCTAAATTCTTGTGCATCTGTGGCATCGACGTTTGAATGTCTTTTTGATAATCGCCCAAGTCGCTATTACCGCCCTTGTCGAAGAACCAATACATTAACTTGGATCGTATTTCTTTCAGCCTCGCTTCCGTTAAGACGTAGTTTGGACCTAAATCTGACGGACGAGCTGCGTATCTAGCCGTACGAGTCGCGTCAGGTGCATCTGAATCTACAAATACATACTTACACGTAGAACGATTTTTTTCATTGGTTCATTTTTTTCATTCACGTTAGATTATCAATAATTGATAAAACGGATATAGATCGATTTGATAGTTGTACTATGTAACAAGTAATACTGACATACGACGGGTGTGTACATTTAAATAATACTAATGTAATAGAAAGTAGAAATCAATATATTCCACAGATATTCATTTAGTATTTACATATACGATAATCAGCGTAAAGTTCCACAATATTTATCTTTCAACTTTGAAACGTGAATAAGGTGTCAATTGAGATATTTGTTTCTCATTTTTTGTTCTGTAGTCATTTTATGTCGATGAGTTTTACCGTCGATGTGGTCTTCCACCTCTGAGATGCCTTCCAATGATTTCTTCGACTCATGATTTTCCGTGGTCTCGTTCTCGGTTAGGGCAGATGCATGACTCGCCAGTAAGAGCAAAACACAACATAGAAGAATTGATTTTGAAAATTCGCAAACGCGATCGAGACCTACTCGGCTCCGCATTTTTAATCAGTTAAAGTAGATGAACTGATTTATCTGACGGGAATCAGAAAACTGAACTTGGCTTGAGGTAACGAACGCTGATAATGTTATCGTTTTATACTATTATGATATCGGACGACTGACGATGACGTAATGATTAGTAGAAAGTTAAATGTTTGATTTTCTTGACAAACATTTTTTATTTAATTAAAGTAGTTTCATATTTTTTAATCTCCATATTTAATAAATGCCGCGGTATGAGGCATGATTGATTTTTTGAAATTAATCGGCTTGGATTGTTCATCGAGATGTTGTTCGTGTCGTTGTTGTAATTAATATTAAAAATCGACAAAATTATTGTTTACGTAAGATGTTTATTGTACCTCTGGAACGACGTGATATTTACAAAAGAAACGTGTTTTACGTGATTACCTTCAGAGCGTGGCAGAAGACAGTTTTAGCTTTTAGTCTGGCAAATAATGCGGGTTACAATAAAACATACGTAGTATGTATAGGTACCACAACGTGGAAAGTAACTTTAAGGAATGATTTGCCGCCGACTATAGTTTTTACAGAGATAACGAAATCATTCGGGAGGGATTAATCATAGAGAAATGATAGGATTTTTTCTTTGATGCTACGCGATAGTGTCTCATTCGCTTGGTCTAAAATTGCACAAAGCATGATTTTATCGAATATTTATTAAAACACTAAATATAAGAAATTTATCAGGCTTAAAATGTACTGATCTATAAATGCATCGTATGATAAATGTACATATGAACACTGATAGATGTACCAGAGCAATGCAGTCATGCATTTGCTTCACTTTAAATGTTTTACCGATCTTCCATCCCAATATTTAGAGGTTTTTGAAAAATCTTAAAAGTAGATTTATTTTCTTCTCTTTTTTTTTCATTTTGTACTGAAATTGTAGCTTGTATATACCAATATTGTCATAAACGTTTGTAAAGAAACTATATTACATACTTTAAGTTGCACGGTATTGTAAATATTTTCGATCGATTGCACATATCACAGAAGAAACCTACGAAAGACTCAAATTCGAGGATACAAAAAATGCACGAATATGAAAGAATGTTCCTAGTTTCATTTTCTTCAATCAAGTGATGTTTGTGATCTACAGCAGTGAATTGAATGTGACATCGTGGATATGAACTATACGCTTGATCATTAAGTGAAACATTATTTATAACATTTTATTTGTAATGAAATAATCTGTTCCGACTGAGATGCGATAGTTTTAACATTACGAAGACGAAGAGTTATCTCCATTACTGTCTAGATATCCTCCTGAGCCGTTCACGACAAATGATGTTCCCAAACCGTACAAATGTCCACAATATTTCGCGTCGTCAATGTTGTCCTCGAAAAACATCTGAAATAATATGTTTTCATTGTTAAGCTTGAAAGTGAACATTTTTAATCTGGAGTATTACTGATTAAATATTTATTTACCTCTCGCATTTTAAAGAAAACCATTCCCGTAAGTAACGAATCAGATCCAGCTTGATGTTGAGGTCCAACTCTTTGAATTTCCAATTGTTCCGCTACCTCTTGTAGGCCTCCTTTCAAATTTTTGCAAGATTTCATTAAGTACTGTGTACAAAGAATTATATATTAGAATACGATTCCCATCGCAATGAATATCGATCCGAAGTAACTGCTTGTGCGAACTTACTTTTACATCATATATTGTCGGAAAATATATCCTAAGAAGCTCAAAGAATTCACTTTCTTCTTGTGGTAACTTTTGGTCTGTAAGAAGTTTCAGTAGATAACCAAAGTCATAGCCGGAATGAAACGATAACCATTTTATATCGTCAACAAGAACAATTCCAGATGTCATCAAAAGTTCAGCGAAATCTAATGGATCGATACCCTCTTCTTCATGTTTTTTGAATTGTATACCACTGTTTTGCAGCATATCTATACTATCCTGTGCATACATGTCTGTTCTAGATAAGAAAGTATATGATACGTTACCATCATATTTCATACTGTTTTATAATCTTAATGAGGTATTGCTTAAAACTTACTGTAAATTAAATTTGAAATTAAATTGCCACGTCGTGTAACTACCACCAGGCGTGTTTCCTGATTCATCGAGAAACGTAAGACCAAGTTGAATTATTCGCAAAAGATCTACATTACATCGTAATAACTGGTACTGGAAATCTGCACTAGTCCTGAATTCACCTGTGACAAAGAAGGGTATTTCACATCGCGAACGATTACCGTAGAATTAAGCTAATACCACTGCATCTTACCAATAGGCCTAGCTACAACACCGGGGAACTCGGTATCCATAGCGATGTACTGATATTGTTGTACAACTTGGCGAATTGTCCGAAATTCTTCTTCCAGATTGTGACCCCATACGTCTCTGATTCCGCATTCTTCATTACTGGGCATAGTCGCCCCACCCTTCTGTTGCCCTATAGGGTTGTTTCCTCCTGAAAAATTTTGGAAAACTATAATTTAACAGAATATAACTGTTTATTAAAGTTATTACAACCTTTCTGACCCCTAGTGACATAATTGATAAACTTAATGTAACACTACATTTATATGCAAGAGTATCCTCTACAAATGAGAATTAATTTTTAAATTCATAGGACTTCCAATACGTACCGGTAGCCGAGGGCATAAGGTTAGATATTCTTGTCGTCACCGGGGCTATTTTTATGTTTGAATCCCACCGTCACAGCTTTACCTTCTTCATATCACTGTAGGCATATACATAAATGTTATCACCGATCCAATAATTTTTGTTACGCAATAATGCACATAAAAGTTTGGTAACACAATGTGTATACAAATTACGCGCACGCCAAGCCAAAGAACAACGACAGATTAACTTAAATTTAAAGTGTTTCCAAATAAACATTACAATTTAAAGGTTAGGTGTCCGAGCAAACAAGTATCGTTTGACATGACGGATATACGACGAACGAAAAATCGAAAATACAATGTTAACATGAAACACAACAGGAAAAAGAAATCGAACAATGAAAAGTTGTCCCGCTGACCGTTAATTTCTTAAAGAAACGTTCAGCTAACAAATAGGTTATGTATTTCAGATAAACAAAAACAGTTTGTTTGAGATAATATGAAAGGAGCGAGTATCGTGATGTACCTCTTTGTGTGCTCGTTTCTCCGCACGATGATTTATTGTTAACTATAGAAAACGAAGATTTATAAACTACTTATCGCACCTTTAAATCTTCTGTCACAGTACGAACAGGTTAAACGAGTTTCCAAACTCAAAGCAGCAATTCCCTCTACATAGTACCTGAAGTTAGGGCGCCAAAATCGCTAGAGTGGATTTCTTCGTGGTCAGTGGCGTTGCCAAGATGTTCGTTCGCAAATCAACTACAACGAATCGTAGAGGGAGCAGCTGATGAAGTCCTATGCGATTACCATTCGAGGTCGGACGATGTGATACGACATAAAGGTTCACGATTTTGTCGTGGCGTTGCCATCGCATAATTCATATAGGCGCACTTTTAAAAAGGATCATTCTATTCTTTATACTGCTACAACACTTTGTAATGTCGCACTGTTTGTTGCAAAATTGGAATACTCCAAGAAAGATTTATAAAACCTTGCAGCAACATTTCTGCATCCTCAATTTTCAATATATCTAAGAGGTATCCTTTTAAATTAAAAAAAAAACGATTTCAGAGAATTTGAATTGTTATTACTAGAATGCAGGTGTTCATTGATATCCAAAATTCATTGGACTTTTTGCATTTGTGAATAGAATCTAAGCGAAACATTCCTTTTCGAGCAGTCTTTATACTACATTATGGGATATTTCAAATCACAACGATATGTCTTTGATGGAGGTACAGAGAAGTCCTGGTTGTACTTTGTTTGCTGGTTCCCTTGTATTTAGAGCATGCTGGTTAATGTATTCCGAAGGTAATCATTGCGGTGCCTTGTTGTATGTAAATCACTGCTCCTGGCGGAGATAGATTGTCCGAGACGGTTCCCTCCATCTTCGTCCTTTCAAAATAGATTTCGTTCGACCGAATTTGCCGCGGCATGTCTGTTTTAAGGGTGCGCGTTAAGGAAACGATTAATTTGAAAGTAAAATACGGTTCTAACCGAATCCAGACGGGAACAAATAGTATCCTAGACGAAGGAAAAACGTTTTGAGGACCGAGATGTTTACCAAGTCAACTTCACGTGAAAGAACATGGTGCATCAACTTGGAGTAAATGGAAGTGTTACAGAATAAGCGTAAATTATGCAATTACAATAGAGACCATTTCTTGCAATTGAAATTTTACAGGGAGAATTAGTTGAACAAAAAATTTCTCTTTTATATAGTTAATTTCTATAGAGGTTCGCGCAAAGAGTGAGATAAATGCACTTGTTATACTTTGTTCCCCTCAAACGGATCGAATTAATGCTCCCTTATGAACACGTTGGTGCGCTTTGAGGATGTGCAAGTGAGTCGTCCGCCATCTAAATACCCACGTACAATCGATTTTCCCTTTGTATAAAGAGCCTGAATATCGTAGCAAAAGGCAACGCGCGCGGTAATGGATCTCACTTTCAACCTAATTTGATCTAATCGTTAGTGGGACTTCTCTGTGTACGGTCGCGAGCACGAACAAGTAACTTTGAAGGATGTGGGACGCGGGTTGGCGAGATCCGAAATCGTTAGACGGTACTACGCTGAGTTACTAATTCGAGGAATCCTCTGCATCGGTTTCACTAGGCATTCCTAATGCCTCGGAGCCTGAGCATCGCCGACGCTGCATAGAGAATCGAAAAGTTGTTTCTTTAATCGAATAGGGAAAATGCAACTGGGAACGAAACGACGGGAAATTGTCGCCAAATGCAATGTACAATGATCTGCTGGGTATGAGTATGAACGCGCATATGTATCATACGTGTGTCTGTTTCGAAGGGTTGTTTTTGAAGGAGTGCTTAATAGGCGTAAGGATTTCTGGGTATGTCAAGGATATATTGACCAGTGCCCTTCGCTTCATAACGTTACGGTTTATAAATTAAAATATACTAAGAAAGTGAACCATTTCGGACCTGGCGTCTACAAGTAAGGACACAAAATTTAAAAATTACCGACACTATCGTTTAGGGT